ACAAGCGCAAGCGCAACCACAACCACAACCACAACCACAACGACAACGACAACGACAACGACACGGACAACGACAACGACACGGACAACGACAACGACAACGACACGGACAACGACAACGACAACGACAACGACAACGACAACGTCAGCGACAGCGACAGCAGCAACAGCAACAGCAACAGCCACAGCCACAGCAAGAGCAAGAGCAGGAGCAACAGCAACAGCAACAGCAACAGCAACAGCAACAGCGACAGCAACGCAACAGCAACAGCAACAACAGCAACAGCAACAGCAACAGCAACAACAAAAACAACCAAAGCAACAACAACAGCAGCAGCATCTGCAACAGCAACAACAACAGCAGCAACAACAACAACAACAACAACGACAACAATCACAACAGGATACACAGCAACAACAACAGCAGCAGCAGCAACAGCAACAACAACAACACCAACACCAACACCACCACCACCAACACCACCAACAACAACAACAGAACAGCAACAGCAACAACAAAGACAACCACAGCAACAACAACAACAGCAGCAGCAGCAACAGCAATAACAACAACAACAGCAGCAACAGCAACAGCAACAACAACGACACCAACACCAACAACAGCAGCAACAGCAGCAGCAGCAGCAGCGACCGTGACGACGACGACGACGACCGCACCACCAACAACAACACCACCAACAACAACAATCCACCACCAGCAGCAGCAAGAAGAAGAAAAGAACAACAAGAACAGCAACAGCAACAGCAACAGCAGCAGCAATAGCAATAGCAACAGCAACAGCAACAGCAACACCACCAACAACAACAACAATAACAACAACAACAGCAACAGCAACACCAACAACAACAACAACAACAACAACAACAACAACAACAACAACAACAACAACAACAACAACAACAACAACAACAACAACAACAACAACAACAACAACAACAACAACAACAACAACAACAACAACATACAACAACAACAACAACAACAACAACAACAACAACAACAACAACAACAACAACAACAACAACAACAACAACAACAACAACAACAACAACAACAACAACAACAACAACAACAACAACAACAACAACAACAACAACAACAACAACAACAACAACAACAACAACAACAACAACAACAACAACAACAACAACAACAACAACAACAACAACAACAACAACAACAACAACAACAACAACAACAACAACAACAACAACAACAACAACAACAACAACAACAACAACAACAACAACAACAACAACAACAACAACAACAACAACAACAACAACAACAACAACAACAACAACAACAACAACAACAACAACAACAACAACAACAACAACAACAACAACAACAACAACAACAACAACAACAACAACAACAACAACAACAACAACAACAACAACAACAACAACAACAACAACAACAACAACAACAACAACAACAACAACAACAACAACAACAACAACAACAACAACAACAACAACAACAACAACAACAACAACAACAACAACAACAACAACAACAACAACGGCAGCAGCAGCAGCAGCAGCAACCGCAACCGCAACCGCAACCGCAACGACAACGACAACGACGACGACGGCGACGGCGACGGCGACGACGACGACAACAACACCAGGTGAGCGGGCGCGCTTTCCATGTCGCATGCGTGCAAACAGTGCTGAGCGGGTGCATCCCCCTCCCCTGTGTTTGATTTATGTCGATCATCTTGCACACGAGACTACTCATGTGACGCAGTGGCTAAAACAGGAAGCCATTGCGGACCGCATACAGGTTATACCAGCAACCACGCTTACCAGGTACGCACCCCATCCATTGGATCATCGAGTGAAGGTACCCGGTATCGCACAGTGCTGAGCGGGTCACTTGAGCGGGTGTGCTTACCATGCCACCCCCCTGCATACTGCTGAGCGGGTGCACTTGAGCGGGTGTGCTTACCGTTCCCCCACCCCGCCCTTCCTCAAGTCACCATTCCGCGCCTGGATGCAGTGCTGAGCGGTACCATTCCCCCACCCGCCCAGCCCCTCCCTGGGGGTGCACTTGAGCAAGCGGGCTTACCATGTCGCATGTCGAAACAGTGTTGAGCGTGTGCACTTGAGCGGGCGTTACCCCCGGCCCCTACCTTTTCCCCAGCGGGTGCAGCGGCTGTGCTTACCAGCCCCAAGCAAGAGCTCGCTTGTAGAGCTGGGTTCTGTGGCAGGCGCAGCACTTTGAGTGATAGGGGCGCGGCTGAGCAACTTGCAGGCGCTCAGGTGAGTTTGCGCCACTGTTGACATGAAGGGCGCGCATGAGTTACCTATAGATGGCGCAGCTGAGTATCTACCCGCTTTCAGAATTTCAGCTGGTGCGGGGATTTTGGCCGCGCGACATGGGTCGGGAACTATCCCCCATGGCTTCCTTTGAGGGAGTCCTCAAGTTCATTGCCAAAACCCTGATTCATGTTTGAGCACCAGCAAGCCCACCGCGATGCGGAAGCAACAAGTGAATCTTGTTTCCACAAAACGGTTTTCTTCGTGTTGTGCCGCCACTTCCCCCCCCCCACATCGAGTCCGATTTTCGCCTTCAGGAGGCCATGGCCAACCTCAAGGAGATCCGCAAGAACCTGGAGGCTTACGGGGTGAACCGCACCCAGACGATGAACACCCAGGCGGACATGGAGAAGCTCTTGCACCTCATGGGCCAGGAGAAGGCTGAGACGCCTGAGGAGTGCTGAGACACTGAGAGTTTGAGCGGTGCAGTTGCCCGAAGCCAGTCTTTGTTCTGATGTGTTTTCGGTGTTGGCTCTCCCTTTCAATGGATCAGCCAACAGATCTTGTTCTTCTTCGCGAAATCACCACCAATGACAAGGGTGCCCGTTTTGCCATGGCTGCTGCGCAACTGAGGGGCCAAAGTAGCAGATGAAGGCATGCGCCAAAGGCTTTCTGGCGTCGCACATGTGCGACAGCTTGGCCCAAGAAGGCTAAGAGATACACGGTGATGGGAATGTCTCAAATTGTGGAACCCTGTTTTGGAATCGTTTCGAAGGGAAAGTATCAGGAAACCAACCACTGGGGCGGGGCAGCTGTATAGTACTGAGACACGCCCAGATGGCTGAAGCTTTCAATAGCCATATCTCTAGACTCGTGGAATTCGCACTGCAGCAAACAGATCCAGTCTAACAAATGGATTGCTTAGTGAAATCCAGATGTGGTTGTTTTCTTTTCCTAGCAATGCCCATGTCCTCAGTAGCCAGAAAATGATCAAGGTGTCTCAGGCTCAGACCATTTTCTTTGGACCTTAAGCAAGGGCTGCAATGGTTTCAGCGACTGGCATGGCCTTTTCAAACTAGACCCACAACACTGTTTCGGGCGTGTGGTGGACTAGAATAACACGGCATTGGTTGGATTTTGGCATAGCTTACATGTTGAGTTGGCAAGTGTTGATATGTTTGTTCATTTTAGTCGAGGGCAAACAAGTACAGTATGTGTTTCTGGCCGGTCAACTTAGCAGGTGAGATATTGTATGCCACCATATCGAAATATTGGCTGGAACACCAGAAGATCTGTTTTCTCCTGCGGCTGCGGAGCACTTGCTCCACCGCTCCAAAAATCGGCGCGGCATGATGCATTTTGCGCGTGGCTTGGGTGGTGCGCCGGACAAGATACGAGCAGTAGGGGCACCACCCACTTCATGTAGTATCTGAAGCAAATGCCCGAAGTCCTGCGCTTGGCGCGCTACAGGGCGAAACATGTGCTTTCCGACTCGCTGTTTTGCGGCTTCGCATTTGTTTGGCTGGGGTTGACAGACGCCGGCAAAAAAGCCATGAAAAGCCATTTGAACAAAATACAAGGACTGGTTTGCGACGAATGACAATTCCTTTCCTTGGGATTCCCTTGCGTTTGGGGGAATTCTAAAATTCCACGCATTCACCGTGTTGGTGGGCAACAAAAAGCGAAGTGCCATCGCGTTGAAACACCAAGAGATAATGCAGACATCTTATCTCAGCATCTGTGCCATCTTCCGCAAAGAAACATGGGGTGTTAAATGGCAACCCTATTGTTAAATGCTGGAAAAGGAAGCCACAGGAAGTTAAATGGGGATGGGGAGGTTGTTTGATTTGTTTGTTGGACTTCAGACCTATTCAACGTAGATCTTGTTCCCACCAGTGGGTAGTCAGGGTCGCCCCTTTAAAGACTGTTTGCAATAAGGGTGGAGAGCTTAAACCCCGATCCCTCAGAACCAGAAAGTCAAGCCTTTGCTCTCGCAATTCTCCGGAACATGAAGTCACTGTTTGGCAATAGCAGGGGATTTCATGAGTTCCGGTTAAATCTTTTTGTATGCCATTTCCTGTTGCATGAATTCCATGATTTTATGGGATTGAATGAACCACCTTGTCCAAGTTTCCCAGATTGGAACCTGCAGTTGGTTCAGAATGGGGTCACAGTTCAATTCTGGACAAGACCCTCGCTCCGATTAGCCCAAAGAAGGCTGTTTTACCAAACTTGAGCCTGTTGAGACCAATTCTGTCGTTCGTTCAGTCACTTGCAATGTGATGATATTCTATTCTTTCTTTGGGTAGGACATGGACGGACTCGATTTCAGCGTATCTTCCCGCTCCTTTGTGGAAGAACTAAAGATGAGCCCCTGGCTGAACCATCAGCGAGCAACATTAGCCGTTTGTTTTTTTGTCAGTCTTTCAACAAGGCTTGCCACCTTTGGGAACTGGCATGGATGATTTCTTTAACGTCATCAACTACGAAAACTAGTTAAGGCGATGGGAATCCCACCCACAGAACGGGGTACACAGCTCCACTACCCTCCCACCGACATCTCACCGGCAGACCCCCACTTCGCACAGTTTGGCAGCTGTTGTTTTTGTTCTTCCCAGCATTGCTAGGGAATCATCTATCCCAACTGGTGCCCGGCGGGGATTTGTTCCATGGGGCAGATCCCTGCGAACAGCCGGTGTTGTTGGCACTGAGGCTGAGCACCACTTCTCCGTGTCGGCCGGACGCCCGGAAAAAGTTGATTGGTCGGCAGCCGGCGACTCCCATGCGCCTGCAAGTCACGATGGAACCCAAGAGCTGGGGAGTCTCAGTTGCGGGGGAGTAAAGGATGACTGGTTGATAGAGCCGAATCACCGGCCCAAAGGGAATCTTGCTTTTTGTTTCCATTGACCGGCCAAAAGGTGGGGGGAACGAGCCACTCAGAAAGAAGCGTGGCTCTGGCGACCGAAACGCGAATGTTGAAACAGTGGGCGAAACGCATGCTGAACTTTACGCGGCCCTCGCCCAAGAGGTTTTGACACCTTTGAATGGGGCCCGAAGGGTGGGAGGGAGTCAGAACATATCTCGCTAGAAGTCCTAAGTTTAGCTTAGCAAGGGATCAACGAGCTGCAAATCAACATGTACCAGGGCCACACATTTGTCATCGACCCACCATGGGTTTGGAAGAGCACTGCACATCACAGTCATGACTTATATACTTGAGAGGCAATTTGGGTACTCTCTCGGCGTTCCACGACTACAGCTATGGAAAGAACGCCAGCAACCTGCACTGAGACTGCCACCATGGTTTTCTTGGAGCAGAACGGCTTTAACTTCAACGAATGGGTGAGGCGGGACCAAAGCTGGTTGGTCACACGGGTGCCTTGACCTACTTACCTCTTAAAAACACAACTTTTCAACTTTTTGGGTAACATGGGCTATATGTTTGTAAAAGGTTAACTTCCCCATTTTTTGGAGTTTTAAGGGGTGAGTCTAAGATCATACACTGACTCAGAACACACTGGCTGTTGTTGGAGACTAACAGTGACTATGAGGGACCCTTAAGGACGATTGGGGCCATATTTGTTTGAGGCTTTTTGTTTTGCTATGGCTCTGAATCACTATTGGGTAAGATGCCCTTTGCCAAGTGCTAGCTGCCAAACCATGGCTTAGGGACAGGGCATCCCCGGCACAGGGCGCGTCACCCAAAAGTTATGGGAAGTGTTCAACGGTCAGGGGTGCTCGCAAGGAGCAATGTGGTTTTCTTCGTAAGTGTCGGTGCACAAACTTGCAAGCGTGCTGTTTGGCTATTCCATTGGCTAAAGCGATCACTACCGCCATTGGCAAGCCAAATTGAGCGATTAGGTGCTTGCCGTGCCATCTTGATCCGTGTTGTAGTTTGTTTGCAGCCCGGTGAATCTGCGGGAGCGCAAGCATGCAGTTCGAATGCATTCCACTGGCGGCGGACAGCAGCTGCATTTCCTGCCCCAGTTCTTCAGTCGCACCTCCTAAATCCCTTCTTGCTTGTTTAGTTCCTTACTAAACACGATCAACCCTAAGAGGTTTCCAATGTCTTGTTCTACCTTTCAGGTTACCGGTTGCAACTGACATGCAGATGGTGTGCTGCTTCCTACCAATGGGGAGTTCGCAAACCCCTGGTTGCCAGTTTTGCAAAGTAACGGCTGCATAAATGTTTTCACTATTTCGGAGCCATTTCGGCAACACCACACGTTGATGAGGGCGTGGGTGACGCTTAACCATTTATGCTGCTAGCCTTGCACTGCTCTTCTCCAGCCACGATTGGTTGTAAGACTACGGATGTGTTGCGTGAGAAAGCTAGGACATTGTTTGTTCTTTGCTGCTGGAGTGATTTTGCGCAGAGCCCAGACCAGCAAAGACCTCGGTTCATTGGGCACTCAAAATTAAGTGGCACACAGAAGACTCAGCAGGGGACAGCCAAATGTTCTTATCGCCGCTCGGATAGCAAGTAGCCTTGTCCGTGTTTGATGCCCATGCTGATCTGCTCAATCCCATCCTGACTTTTTGCCATGGTCCTGTATCAGAAATGTGAACAAGATCAAAAAGAAACAAACGTGCTCTGTGTATTTGCTGTTGGGGTTCTCTTTTCTGCTCTTAAACGACGGTGTGCGCTGGCTGTACTCGCAGCGCTTGCATGCTTGGTCTGTGACCGGCATGGTGGATTCCAAGCAAATCGATCACCTCCAACCACAAAATCCTCGTACATCGCCACAATTTGCTGGGTCTCCCTTTGCACTACTTGCACTTTTGGGGCATCCAGCCTAGCAACTGCTGTGCAGACGGAGTTCAGCAATCGATCGCATCAGCTTCTGTTGAGACCCGAGCGCCGCCTGTTGTTTGAAACTTCTCACTGCCGCCAGGAGTCCTGTGAAAATGAGGCGCCCTCCAAATTAAATGTTTGTCATCCTTGCTTCCCTTTGAAGGCATTGATATTACCTTCGGAATATATATTCAGGAGGTCCTCCGCATTTTGGGAATTCTGCCACAATGCAATGGACCTGGCTTGGTCAGTATAGCCGCCCTTCTGTTGATATATTGGAGGTTCTAGGGTGTAACCAGATGTTTCACATTCCATAGTGTCCCAAAAAAGGAGATCCTTCTGGTTTAGTTTTGTCTTGCATGCAAACTGGGGCCACGCCCAAGTTCCGGAGAAACTCGCTGTTTGTGCAGACTATGCTGCATCATGATTGCCCTCTGTGAAAATTAGGAGAATCAGGTTGGACCCTCGTAATGAGGATTGCTCTTGGAGTTTTGCCAGCAAAACCAACCCTCTTCAGGGGGTTCGATTCTTGCCCCCAGACCTCCAGTGGTGTCCTGATTCCTGTCCTTTTCAATCATTGGGGCAGGCTCCTTGGATTCCCAGTGAAAAAAGTCACTCCAGACAGCCTCAGCAACAAGTGCATGACTCCAAGAATGTATTCCACACAAAGTGTTCACGCCCAAAAAGGATCTGCTTGCTGGTTGCAGCTTTTGGCCCTCGCACTGTGCAGGCATGGCTTGGGTTGGCTGAGACCTGGCGAGGAGGAGGAGATGAACCGAGTTGGCCATGAGTCAAAATCCCGTACCCCCAGTGAACATCCCACTAAACTGGGTGGTGCACCTACCCCAAAATGGTACCATTGGTTTTGGCCCACAGCCAGTTGTTGTCCCGGAAAGCGCCCCGCAGTTTTGTTGTTTGTGACGCCACGATGCTTGAATCTTGTTGGGACCGGCACGAAACCGACCATTTGAAGGGTCGCGTGGGCTGTGTGACTTTGGAGGATGCCCGTTTGCTGCTTGTAGAGGACAACAAAAAGGAATGTGCATAGCCCATCATCGCCCATGAGAAATCAGCCGCGAGGATGGATCTGTTTTTCAAACCGATCCAGACCCCCTGCGCATTCACACCGCCTGCTGGGCAGATTATGTGAGGGTTGTGGAATTGGTTTGATTGGTTCCCACTTTTTTGATGCCAGTTAATATTATCCTTGTGCACAACTAGTTATTGGGAAGGGCCTTCTCCGAGTGCGTCCCTTCAGATCTGCACGAGTGCATACTGGTTCTATACCCCATTTGAACCAGTGAGTATGCTGGGGATGAGTGGACAATTCCAGGAAGCCAGTAAACATGACAGTAAACTATGCGTTTTTGTTGCGGCTCCATGCCAATCTGTTCAAGTTTGCTGGCGGGAAGTTAGAGGCTTACATCTAATGTGGAGGAGTGCGCCCTCCAAGTGGTGGTTTCTCCAATGAACCCCAAAAGAATGTAATTTCCTCACTGCCCGAGTTCCTGAACTCTAATCTTTGGGGTAAGACCATCCTGAAAAAACTGTCTTTAATGGACTCCCGAAGAAAAGGCAAGTGATGAAGGCCCCCAGCCGACCAATGCCTCTCCACCTGGGTCCATTGAAGCGACCTCTGACCTTGACTGCTATTGGGTTGGATCTTTAGACTTTAACTTTTTGGTAAATCAAGGAGTTTTCCATTAAACTCCCAAAAAGAAAACACTTTTTGCAGGGGGGTCAACAGCAACCAAGTGACCCCGGATCCGCATGGGCCCCGAGGAGAAGCGCCGGGCGGTGCAGCAGCGCATCGACGAGATCTCGCGGCTGAAGCGGTCCGCGGAGAAGTCCACTGCTGAGAGCCCCGAGCCCACGGTGCCCTTGGAGATCCCGGAAGGCGGAGCGGAGGGCCATGGACGGAGGGCCGGTTGGATACCTGGCTGTGGTTGTCAAAAAAAGGTTTTGGGATCCCATTTTGGGGTACCACCCATTTTAGAACCTATTTTAGTGGGGATTGGGATGTTCACTGGGGGTACGGGATTTTGACCCATGGCCACCTATCCACAGTAAATGGAGAGATACGGAACCCAATGCCCAGTTGTCCCATGCAATGGTTGGAAGGTCCCGGGCCGATTTTCTCGACACACCTCCAGAGAGGTTCGGGGATTCCAAGAACCTTTCCTGACCATGTGTCCAGGATTCAAGGACACCCTTTGCAAAGGGCATCTTTGACGCTAGCCAAGGAATGGAGGACCCTCATTTTTATCAATCGGCTTCCCCTTGGTTTTCCTCAGACAATACGAGTTTTTAAAGAAGACCAAGCTCAGAAATAGAGTTGTTTAGTGGCACTAGTTGAATCCCTCTTTGTTTTTTTGTTGCCCTCCTAAAACAGGTCAACCCACGAGCAAAATGCTTCCCTTTCTTTCCGCATGTGAGTCACGATCTAACCGCGGGTAAGGAATTTACCATGGCACATGGCCCTCTTGCAGGTGCAGACCGCGCAGTGGTGGATGCCTGCCGGGACCAGGTGCGAGAGTGGCTGCTGCGGGGCAGCCCGGACTGGGGGGTCGGGTAGACGAGCACACCCATCAGCGCGTTTTTCCGTTTGGGCCCAAAACCAATGTGTTATCGTTTGGGGAATAGTAAAGCTAAGGCAAAGAGAAGTGGGACTGCTATTTTACGGGGTTTGGCTGAAGGGAAGACCAAAGCAGGCAAGTTGCTTAAATGTTGAAAATTTGTTTCAACATGAACAGGGGCACTAAGAGTAGAGTGCGCAGTTAAAAGGCAACAAGACTCTTGGGTCCTGCAACACTTTGCGAAATTACTTTGGCTTGGTAGGAATGGTCATGGACCTGAGGGACTGACAATTTTCATGAGGCCCGAGCTATACCCCTGTCAAAATCATAGTCATGTCCTCTCGTAGTTGTAGAGGTTCAGGTTGATATCGTTGGATATGAGTAGTTCTAATTGGCATGACAAGACGGTGGCCCGCTTTGGGAGAGGGGGTACTCCCCATGTTCTATGTTTGGCCTGACATATGGGTTGGGGGGAGTCAGGCAGAGCCACCATCTAATGAGGGTCCAAATAGGGTCGATCGAATCGACCCAAACGGCGCTGTGGCCCTGTTAGAGAGTGCTTGCTTTGGGGGTTCGTAGGAAAGATCATGAACCATAAACCAGGTTGTTGCAAACTAATGAGCTCCTTCAATGATCGAATGTTTGCAGGAGAATGACGTGTGGGTTGACGAAATCAGTGCCTTTTTTTGGTACTCGTCCGGGCCGGTGTCTTTTTGTGCCGCCAGCAGGGGAGTGCTCTCACCAAGTCACCATGCAAGGTTACGCAACAGCTTACTGTGTCAGTGGCTTCTACCGCAGGCTCATAAGTGCGGGGTCCCTGAAAATTCAGTGGACCTGTTTGGCAGGCGATTACTTTAGGGCCCGGCACAGGAGCAATAGGAGGTTTCCAAGCAGCCAGCTGTCCCCTCCCTTGCCGCATGGATGCGTTTTTCGTCGAGAATTCCCGTGAGGTTCGAGGGGAAACTAAAGGGACGCCACAAGAGTGGGGGATTCCATTTTTGAAAACAAAACAACATTTTGGGAAGGGCCCTATATCTCCCTGACACAGGAGCCATGATTTGGCCATTGTCACAGTCGGTCCTTGGCAGCCTTTCGGCAAATGGGGCAAAGGCAAGCCAAGAAGGGGCAAAGCAAGGACATTTGAGGTCAAAACCAAGCATGTATAGCTTCACGGGTGATGGTCCACACAGGCGTGCCCACTCCTCGTGCTGTTCCGGGCATTTTTCATGTGAAACAGCCGAAAGAAGGTCCTTGGAGAGTTGCCAGGTCGCCTGCAAAGACTCCGTTGGAGATCCCCATGGAGAATGCCTTTCAGCAACTCGGAACGGAGCTGGGAATCGGTTCCCAGGTTTGTGCTGCGGCAAACCGTGGTGGGAATCCCCAAACAACCCAAAGATAGGTGCTACATATTGTATTTGATTGCCCTGTACTGCCGACTACTTCATGGATTCTCATCTCAAAATGAGGAGATGAAGCCTCAACAGGACAGGTTTCCGTTTGGTTTCCCTTCAGTTGCAACCAAAAGAGAGACCCATTTGGTAGTTTGAGAAGTCGATTCCACCTCATTATTTGTGGGTTGCAGCACAGCCGGCATAGACTTTTGCGCATCTTGGTACACAATTCATGTCGGTTTGGGCTTTTGTTGGGTGTGCAGTGGCCCCCTAAAGGCTTCCCGATTGGTTTTATTCGCGTTGAAGATGCTAAACGTCCCACATGTTCAGACCCTCCCCCCGTTTTGTGAACATGGGAGTTGCAAGGGATAAGATCCAAGCAGAGGTCTCTCGCCGTCTGGATTACTTTGATTTTTGGTGTCTAATGTTCTTTCTTCCGTGATTTTCGGTCTCATTGGATCAATCCCAACATACGGGCCTCGATGTTTCCCTCTTGAAGGTTGCTAATGCTCCCTAGGCAAAGGCGTTTCGGAACCTCACGGCACCAGGGGACTTGCCACTCTGCACTCGATCCATCCCCACAGGTGGGCACGAATGGTTTGGGTCAAGTTTTTGTACCCCGAGTATTCCCTTTGGGCTATTCAAAGGGCTCCAAAAGTGTGTGGGCTTGTGACTTGTGAGCCCATACAATCAGCCTTTGAGTGGGTCACCCAAGCAAACTGGCCAAGGATGCGTGCTTCTTGTGCAAACCAACCACCTAGTGTTCTGTAGCTTTCTTTTTTTTCCCCCAGGTTTGGGAAAGTGCATTTCTCTCTAGCTGGAGTGTTGTTGTTCTTCTGCACAACCAGAATGACCTCGCTGTTTGATCCAAAAAGCGGTGGTGCGTTGTGCGTACTGCGCTGGTTCCAATTGGGATTGGTGAATTGGCCCACGGGCAGGCCAACATGTGGGCGTGTCATTTTTCTCGCGTAGATGTTTTGAAAAGCCTGGGAAGTTCGACCCCCATTCGCACAACCCGAAGCAGGCCCCGAAGCACACTCCCAATACGCATGAAGCTTGAGACAGACCTGTGTTTGCCATCGTTCAGCATGGGAGGAGTGCCCCCCAAAATGGGCCGGGGACTTCTTGTTGCTTGGTTTTAAAAGAGGGATTTGGACGGGAAGCCAACTAGTGGGGCATACTGACCTTTGTCCATGCCAAGACGGCATGGGCGACATGTGAGCAAACTGGCCATGATCCAACCAGCAACAAGGACATGGAGAGATGTCCAGTGAAGCAACTTCTGCCCCTTGTTTCAGCTTCATTGCCGGGGTGCTGTCCCCATCCCCCAACTAATGTCTAGGTAGGGGTCCTTCCACAACCGTTTCTCTCTCTTGTGGGTAAACTGAAAATGCTGTACAACCAGGGCGCCCTCGTGACATTCAGTGAGGGGATTTCATCATTCCCGTCGCTTGAGGCGCCTGCTGATGCACACCATTATTGCGCAGGAGACTTTGATCAGCACAACAATTATTTTGGCTTTGGGCAATGAGAACGTCTTACAGTAGGGGCCCAAAAGACTGTTTGGTTTCCTATTGATTTCCCTTAGAACAATCCCAAACGGGTAGCCTTGCAAAAAGACTTACTCACCCATATGAAGCAGGTATCCTTTAGAGGGAACCACTTGTTTTTCGCACGAGCACAGTGCTCTTCAACTTTCAGGTCATGTTCGCCTTTCGATCCGCCTTGATTCCTCGCAGCGGGAGAAAGGGCTTGTTTGTGGCGTTTTGTTTGAGCTTCCACCGGGTCACGTTTAAGCACACTGTTGGCATGCTGGACCTTGTGCCCGGCAGGTGGCAGGGCAACATCCGCAGAGTTTGATTTTGTTTCAGGCTGAAACTAGGGGAGCCCTGAGAATGGTTTGGTCAACCAAGCGAGACTTTGGGGGATGGGAAGACTGGGGAAATCCCATTTAGTTCTTCCTCCGTTTACTTATGTGCTCAAATTCGGTGGGTTTGCTTGTCTGACTTTTGTACTGCGATTGTACTTTAGCACCACCTGCTTGGCAGGCTGTCGTGATGGAACCAATAAGGGCACACGTGCCCAATCTTTGAAAAGGGCCGTCCAACATGTTCAAGGTATGGCGATTTCTTGAACAAGCTTGGCAACTTCTTGCCATTCATTCTGCACCACCGCTGATCCCTGGGAATCCTTGTTTAAGGCAAACGCTGTGGATGAACAACCGAGGGGTTATGAATGAGAGGTCAGCGTAATTGGACGCCCACTTTGACACCGAGGCTGCCTTTTGAGCTTCGTTATTGGGAAATGAAAGGAGCTCAGTGTGTTGCTACACCATAACGGGGGCCAGTTTTGTTCCAACCCCGCGGGGGGGTGGGGGTGGGGGTGGGGAACACCCCCAAACAATGGTGGGCTTCCTGTTGCCCTTAACACTATCCCAAGTTTTAGAAAACATAGATTATCCGGTGGATGCCCAAAAATTGCAAGAAGGGCAACAAGTTGGACATTTGATGGATTTCCGGCAACCTTGCCAGATGTTTTTTCTCACTCGGTTGGTTCGCTTGCAATCTTTGCGTGTGTCTCAAAGACTGGGGAGCCCCAAAACGGTGGGGGTGCTTTGCTGTGCGCGTTAAGCATTGCTATTCATTGCTATGTAGCACATGAGTCTAAGAGGGTTCTGCTAAGGAGATATGGGGACAAGGTACAAGTTGCCTTGTGGATAGTGGTTTGGGGGTCGTGGAACCTCCCTTGGCGTTGCCAACCAGTTGGAAGCTGTTCATTGTGTGGGTAAATCTTTAATACCAGAAGTTTGTCATTTTTGCAGACTCCTGTTTTAGCACGCCTTCGCTCTCGCCAGGAGTTTCCGCAAGTCTACAGCCACTCATCTCGCCGCGAGGGGGAGCGCTTCCTGTGCGCCCGGTGCTCAGGATAGATGCCCTTGGCAAAGGCTGCCCTTCACCAGGGCTCCTTAAAAGACACATTTCTGCCCATTTGAAACTTACAAGGCAAAATGAAGGTAATGTTCACCAAAACAAATCACCACTTACAAGGCAATATTCAGGTGTATAATGTAAGGATCCCTGTTTACCCATGCTCATCCCAGCTGAAAGGTGGATCGGCAAAGGGCACCTTAGGTGAAGGGCTTCCAAGGTGACCAACTGAACCCCTCTTGGGAGGAGTCCCTGTACAATTAGCCTGCTCCCAATGACTTACTATGTGGACCGATTGAGCTTGCAAAAAGGTTACATCCTGCGCTGATAATAGTTTCTCTCTGGATGTCTCCGGGGTCGAATCACTCAGTGTTATAGAAAAGCATTGAGCCAGAAGGACACGTCTTCCAAACCGAGTCTGTGCACTTTCAGGTTCGCTGCTTGGAGCGTAACCTCCAGCATGCATCAGGCCTCTCAGATATAGGACTTCTTAGATTATATGTTGCATGTGTTTGGTAAGATTCACTAAATAGGGACGAGACTGAAACGATATTTTGTGTTGGGGCAGCTGAGGTAGCTTTGTGAAAACAAAGGGCCGCGAAGGAATAAGGTGTCTGCCCTTCTTGCGGCTCTCTCGATGGGGAGGTTGGGATAGCAGGGCTTGCCTTTTGACATCCCTCTTGAACAGCAATTCCAAACCAACCTGTTTCCAACAGCGCAACATCTTCATCCGCCAGGGCCGCCAGGGTCAAGAAAGAATGGAGTCGGCCAACCAAGCAAAACTGGGCCCATGGGGCAATGTTTCTATCACCTTCAAACATCGCCCCGCCGAACATGGGCTTGATCCGCATCGGCCAACACGGCGATGTGTAAATTAGTAAACCGTACCACAAGCGAAATCTATGGACGCGGGTTGAATGCTCCTGGTTGTAAGCGGCTGACCTGCAAGCAGTGGTGGGGCTTCGCGGCGATGTTTGCTCAGGTGTACAAGTCTCAAGCGCAGATCTCAGATGGCCTTGGGTCTTAGAAGGCATTGGTTTATGTGGCGTTTAGTTGTTTTGAGAGTATACTTATTTTGAAAGGAGGGTATTAAGGGAACACCCCTTTTTTGATAAAGTTTGCACAGGAGCAAACAGGAAACTGACGTTCGTGTTCCTATCGTTCCAAGCTTTAGGACAAAATGTCCCAAACATTTGGGTACCTTCTTTTTGCGGTATTTGGTTTCAACTGCCTCGGTCATGTGACACCTATTACGTGAAGTGGGTATGGATGGTCATAGACCCCATGGCAATTTTTAGACAACCACTCACAGTGATTCCGTTTTTGAGGCACCATGATACCATGGCACACGTTTGACATTTCCCCTACAGTGGGAGGGGTTGACCTCTCTATAAACTTATTTTTGAAAAGAAATGTGAAAGGGGGGTCACGCCTCACGTCGGGTGCACCCATTTTGTAGTAAGCCCATTTTGTAGAGGGATGTTTTTTTCTCTACAAAATGCGTTGCTACAAAATCCATTCATGTTGCATGTAGAGGCTGCATGTGTCTTGTTTTCTTGTTGAGGGGTTGTGCTTGGTTAGGCTTTTTTGTAGACCAGGTTTGGTAGCTTTGTCATGTTCTAGAACTGTTTGGCTTCTGTCATTGGGCCGCCTAGCAACTCCCCTTCGCTATGTGGCATCGGTACCCCCACCCCTTTGTTTGGAAACCACATTTTCCCCACAGAACGGCTGTTGGACCCCGCTTAGAACGCTGGCAGGGTTGAGACCCAGCTGGCCCTCTGCAAAATGGCACTTGGATTTAAAGGTGGCCGCCGTGACGTAGGTCCGTACCTGCAGCCCACGCATGTTGTAGTGACCACTGTGTAACATCCAAAAAACAACCGGTAGTTTTCAGAGACCGATTTTGTAGAGAATTCGTTCTGCAACCGCCGTCATTTTGTACGTGTTTTTTTGCAAATCGCCAGTCTTCTTCTATAGAATGGGTGTTCCAACCCCACCCCTAATTTCAACTAGGCTAAAGCTTTTTGCTGAGCGGTTTCCTTCGTATATTTGGTTTGGCTCGTACAGGGAGGCTTCCCCGAACCGTGCCTCATACGCTCGTCTACAACTTCCAAAACGGCTTCTCGTTTTTTTTGGGCTCCCCATCCGTTCCGTGCGAAGATTGGTCTGCTTTGACCAAATCGGTCACCAACTTCACCCCGTTTTTTCTTGAGGGGACGAGACTACACTTCCAACTACATGGCCTTAGCACCGCATCGCCGCATGGCATGGCACTCGTTGAGGCCGAAGTCTACGAGGAGCAGCTTCGCACCCTGCAGCTGGAGATGGAGGCCATTGACGAAGAGGCGCGGGTCGTTTGGCCCGAGCGAACGAATGACAAAGGCACGAGTTTGGTCAATGAGTCAAGGGGCCCGGAGGGGATTCCACAAAAAAGACAGACGCATATATCGCGGGAATTTGTTATTGAGCATGATTGGCTGAACACCCACCCCTCCATACCGCAAATATTCAATGGTTTTGGACCCTCTGCGACCAGTGTCTAACTTGTTTGGACGTCCAAAGGTTGCAAATCCAATGGTTTAAGGAGGCAGGCTCGCACCTGGCTATCAACCACTGTTGGGGACTTAAAACAGGGGCAGATGGGTTGTAATCAGAGTGCAAACCAAATAGACGATAGCCTCCTTACTCAGTGCCCCCTGTTGGCTTGTGAAAAGGCCCAGGACACTTTGCGGATGAACATGTGTTTCAACAAAGTCGATCCCATTTAAAGGGCAACATCATGAGGTTGTTTAATAAAAACCAAGGCGGGTTTAGAAACATGTTTAAGCAGCGGATTGGCCCCACTCTGGGTCCCTCATAATTACTCCCGTGCAAAGTATCATGACGCACCAAATCCCCCCAAGAAGATCGAGGTTCCCCTACCTCAAGTGCTCTTTTCGTTCGGGTTCACGACAATCCGTAGCCTTCGCCCGTTTCATTCTAATGTCCAAAGGGTGGGAATCCCTTGGGTGATTTACTAGGCAGGTAAAAAGCAACACCCCATGGAGTCGGGTAGGGCATGGAGTCGATGTCCGCCTGCCATTCCAGCGGCCCAAATCGCCTGAGGTGGGGGTGCGAAGTTTGACGGACGAGATCACCCGCAGCCAGAAGCCGCTGGTGGGCCACAACTGCCCGGGCCCTGAGGCAATTTGCACCGCCTTCAAGTGCCGGCGGTTGTGGACAAGTCGGTCTTAGGTTGCCGCTTTTTGTCGGAAGGATCCGATCCTTCAAAGTGACAAAGTCGTCATGGTTGCATGGGGATCCCACTTTTTTATTATCAGAGTTTAGCATGGCCAGGGTCATGACCTGTGGATGGGAAAAGGCCACTTCGCACTAGCTATCAACCAGTCATGGCTTCCATCCCTGGTGTCGATCGCGGATGTCGGGCGCGGATGACTCAGAGGTTTCTACGACTTCTTGCACCTTTACCAGAGCTTTTACGCAGACCTGCCTGAGGGCATCTCTGACTTCAAGGCGATGGCTTTGGAGCCCAGCGCCTTGTTTTCCGCTTTCATGAGAAAAAATCGGACTCTAGAGTACCCTCACAAAACACGCATGCGGGATTCTGTGTGTTTCTGTGACTAACCAGGAAGGCATGATATTGTACTAGCACGTGTGTCTGCCTTTGGAGAAAGGATGAGGATCCGGCGCACCTGAGGTTCAGTCAACTATCCAGCAGTCTGACCTTTCGGCAGGGACGTGTGGGGACTCACTTTTTCGCAGGGAAACCTTAGGGCCTCACATGTTTTTTCATGTCCTGGCAAGCGAACACACTGGCTCAAAAGCATATACCGAAATGGCTCCTTGGAAAATGCCGCCAAAGTTGAGCCATACACATATGAGTGAGATATCTTTGTTCAGGCTGCCTGGCTGCAGCTCTTTCCGCAGACCCTGGACACCAAGTTCCTGGCCGAGGCGACTTGATGGGTTTGCCGCAAGCCCCCCGAGCCCCCCGAGCCCCAGAAGTTGTTCCTTTTAGAATCTAGAGGATCTCGTTTGACATGATTGTTTTGTTTGGTTCACCAGAAACAACTGTTTGATTGTGGCTGGGGGCAATTGAGCCACGGATATATGTTTTTATCCACAAGAGGACATGGAAACGATGGCGGAGCCCGGTCGTTGATAGGAGCCCTTCCAACACAACTGTCCTTTCTCAAGAGCAGTAGGGCAGCGGAAGGGTTTTTGTTGACACTTTGACACTCCAAGCGTGCGGTTTTTCGTTTGGGGAACCACGCCTCGCCCCTTCCCAAGCCTCAAGCCCCAGGCTCGATGCATGCCGAGGCACACGAGCTGCTGGCGGGCCTGCAGCCACCGGCGAACTTGAAGGGCCTGTGCAACTTCATGCTGCAGGCGAGCCGCGAGCCGCGAGCCGCGAGCCGCGAGCCGCGAGCCGGGCTCGGACCTGTTGCTCGTGTTGCCTATTGTTTTTGTGTGAGGGGAGGCCCTTTAAGATCCACTGCCCAAAAAGCACCTTGTTTTGCCTCGGCCACTGCAGGTCCAACAAGGCCAAAGGAGTACGGATGTCCAAAAGCCCCCAGCGCCGCTAAGAACCCATTGAGTCGCTGTTGGTGAATGAACACACAAACTCGGGAACACGAAGCTGAAGGGTTGGTACTTTCTCAAGCAGTTTGAACCGCCAGCTGGAGAGGTTGCCACAGGCAGCGCCCATTTCCATGATTCAGTTTTGGGCTTCCAGGCTGCCAGAAAGCTACAGCGCCCAAGGTGGGTGGTTTCCTTGATTGTTCTACTGTTCTACTTGCTGTCATAGGGGATTCTAGTAGGGCTTATGCAAGCTTTTACTCGCCTTTACTGCTGATAGAACCAAACGTCAAAATGGATGTTGGGCGCAATGCCCGAATGGCTGTTGTTGTCGACTTCTACTCTGGACCTTGCAGATCGGAAAACACGGCTTCAGTAAAATCCAGTGGTGCATGTCATATGAGCAACGCTCAAGACTGATAATAGTCTATGTTTTGGTATAGTGGATGACAGGAGGACTCGCGTGAGTCGGTCATCCATTTAGACAGCAGTTTAGATGCCCTCTCTTTTGGCATGCTATAAGGGGGGGGGTAATCCACAAGAGGATGTACAAGACCCCCAAAGTCCAAGGGTGTTTTTTCGAGGTTAAAATTGTGCTTCTGATTGCGGGCTTCAGTCATGAGGATTTGTGACAACACGTCTTGACATGTGCCGAAGCCTCAAATTACGATTGGAAGATAGGGGGTATAAAGGAATATTGACTGGCTCAGTGTCAGGATGGTACAACCTCACAGTGTCACAACTACGCGACAACACTTTTGGCTAATCTCTATAGGTGGGTGAGATTGGCTGAACATTGGCACTGGTTCAAAATTGGGTCAGCTCGACGAAGTGCAAAGCCTCAAAAGCACTCTCCTGAACACTGGTCCCTTACATTTTGCGGGCTGTTAAAGAGAAGCCACAATTTCGAGGATCATTTTCAGGATGTCATTACAATGGACCCGGGGACATCCCAACCCCAGATGCAACCACTGACCCTGGTTGTTCCTGGGTTCCATTTTTTGCGCTGCCCACAACAGGACGGCAAGGGGGGTCAAGAAAAAGGAGGGGCGTCAACAAAAGTGCGGGGGGGGGTCAAGACAATGATGCTTCCCAAAAGGACGCAAACCCAAAGATCTCTCCATTTTCATTTATGACGCCCCTGGCTTCTCCACCTCGGACACAGTTCGCTTCGCCAGGCGGCCAAGTCGGAGGCCTCGCCGGGGCCGTTGCCCCTGACCTTCGAGGTGGGCTGAGAGACGTGTCCATGGAAACCGGGGGAGGGGTTCATATATACCTATCTCGAAATGGGGGACCCTCCCCCCAACAAAAAGTGTTTTTGTTCAGTACAGCAGCAGTCCGTTTCCTGCGGGAATGGCGGCCGAATTCCAAGAATTTACTGTTGGAGAAGATATGTGCGCTCATGGAGCGAGGTTCGCGGTGCCGACAGTAGTGACCGCGGTCGCTCTCAAGCCCATCAAGAATTTGTTCAAGCTGGCGGGCTTGCTGCAGCACCAAGATCGGGGCCAGTGCTGGTTCGAGGCAATCGGCCCGAAGGAAGACATGTCTAAACTGCCAGCCACGCTGAAGCCCGGGACTTTCCATTTGTTCGCCAAGTTGTGCCTGAAGCCAAGCGTATATGACTCTGGCGGGCCAAAATCTCGACTTGCCACCGACGCGCGTCTTCAGGCAGCTGGCAAAGGTGGAGTTCGTTGTCCCGGGACAATCGAAGGGAAAGCAAAGAAGCAACATGTTTGACGGTTGGCCTTTGTTTCCTAGTTTGAGATAAGGTCGTTTGGGTGTGCCTTTTTGTGGGAGTTGATACCCACCCTTCGAATTCGGGCAGTGGGTCGCTTAGGCGTCGCGCGAATGGTTCGCTTAGGGATCGCGCAAATGGATCGCTCCGGGATCGCTTTTTGCAGAAGGCTTGTCGCGCACGCATGCGTGTTGATATGTTTGCTCGCGATGTATGTTTATATACGCGCATGCGCGAGCATGTATGCGCTTGTTTGTGCTTGTCGGCGTGTATATCGCATGACATATGTGACGTGTATGTTTCATGGCATATGTTACTATGTATGCTGGCGAGTCCATGTATGTGGTTGTGTGCATGCGTGTTGACATGTATGCCCTGCGGCGTATGCCCCAGAACCTGATGAATTTGCACATTAGGTTACAGAGCAGGCTGGGCTGGTTCAGTTGAGCGGGTGTGCTTATCATCCCCCCCACCCCACCCTCCACCCCCAGAAAGAGATGCATTTGCTGGGATGAAGCAGTTCAGCGGTTGTGCTTATCATGCCCCCATTTCGTTACAGAGCAGGCTGGGCTGGTTCAGTTGAGCGGGTGTGCTTATCATCCCCCGCACCCCACCCCCCACCCCCAGAAAGAGATGAACATTATCATGCCCCCCCCCCCAACCAACCCCCCCCCAGAACCATGCTATTTTGTAATCTGGTAAAAGAGCAGGCTGGTCTGCAGCAGTTGAGCGGGTGTGCTTACCATGCCCCCCCCACCCCCACCCCCCAGAACCATGTTATTTTGTATTCCGGAAAACGAGCAGGCTGGTCTGCAGCAGCTGAGCGCATGTGCTTATCATCCCCCCCCCCCCCAAACCCCCCCACCCAGAACCATGTTGTTTTGTAATCCGGTAAAAGAGCAGGCTGGTCTGCAGCAGTTGAGCGGGTGTGCTTACCATGCCCCCCCCCCGCACCCCCTCCCCAGAGCCATGTTACTTTGTAATCCGGTAACAGAGCAGGCTGGTCTGCAGCAGTTGAGCGGGTGTGCTTACCATGCCCCCCCCCAATTCCCCCCCCCCCAGAGCCATGTTACTTTGTAATCCGGTAACAGAGCAGGCTGGTCTGCAGCAGTTGAGCGGGTGTGCTTACCATGCCCCCCCCCCGCCCCCCCCCCAGAGCCATGTTACTTTGTAATCCGGTAACAGAGCAGGCTGGTCTGCAGCAGTTGAGCGGGTGTGCTTACCATGCACCCCCCAACCCCCCCCCAGAGCCATGTTACTTTGTAATCCGGTAAAGGAGCAGCTGTTGAGCGGGTGTGCTTACCATCCCCCCCCCCTCCCCAGAGCCATGTTACTTTGTAATCCGGTAAAGGAGCAGGCTGGTCTGCAGCTGTTGAGCGGGTGTGCTTATCATCCCCCCCCTCCCCACCCCCGTCATCAATGAATGTGATCCCTAAGTGATCCGTGAATGTGATCCTCAAGTGAGCGTGTATCCCTAAGTGACCGTGATCCCTAAGTGAACCGTTTGAGCGATCCCTAAGTGACCTGTTTGCCTTCGAATTCACTCAAAGGAAGTCAAAGCTTCGGGGATGGTTTCATTACACTGTGAGCTTCAGATTCATCCAGAGTACCATGCGTCCCCAGACGCCAGGCTTTACCGCGCATCACCCAGCAACAAGCTGGAACAGATTTGCTCAGATGGGTTCAGTATGCCTATAGCTGACCTTATAATGTGTTCCTTTCAGTTTTCTTTAAATAAATATATATATATATACATATATTATTATTGTTATTATTATTATTATTATTATTATTATCATTATTATTTGGACAATGGAGCAGGTGCTGAGCAAGTCAAGTTCTGGCTTACCCGTTGCAAACTAGCCCCTTGGACGTGCCGATACCTTTTTTCTTGTGTTCACTGACTTGTCACGCAGCTGGCAAGCTATCAAGACTTGTAGGACTTCTTGAAGCATCAGGTTAGGCCCTTTCGTTGCTCGTTCTATAAGTGAGGGTGGTTGCCTGGTTGCATGAATCGCATTTTTCACAGTGACTTTCGGGGAAGTGGATCCTCGCTTGTTGGAAGCCTTACCCCTTTGAGCCATCAAACCATCCAAAAACTTCCTTGGAAAAGGGTCGAAGCCCCTTTTCAGGTGATCATCTGTTTCCAAAACGGAGTGCTAAGGTAAACTCTGCTTGCAGGCCACCAGCGGATTCTGTTCTTGGCTCTCACTATTTGGCAATTGAACATTGATCCGGTCTGTTCCTGAAAGGGACTGCCGGAGGCAAGCCTGATGGAACACTCCCTTGGGCCATCGGCATGCCAATAGAGTGTCAATTCATGATAGTTCACTCAATGGGTAGAGCCCCCAAACTGGTGTCCTTGTCGATTCCTGTGAAACAACATCTCAGCGAGGGTTCCAAATTTCAGGAGGCCCTTGCGCAGGACTGCCTGATGTTAGCCATTTCTACGAGCCGAACGGTCCCAAACCACAAGCGCATCATATCAAGCGGTTTGCCTCCGTATAGCTTCTGACCAGTGTTGATGACTTTGGAACCGTTGTAGCTAGTGCATAAAGGTCAACTTCGGATAATCTGGGGGGCTGTTCAAATCAAAGAGATCCCTTACCAGCCCTGATTAGAATGCTTTTTGGATGAATCCCATGATGACATTTACGCACTTGGAGAGTTCCTCGACTTCCAAATCGTTTTGGTTCTTCAACAACAGCTCAGACTTTGTTGGGCCACCAACTCGCAACAGCCTTGGCTAAGAAAATACCATGGGTATGCGGCAGTATACGTGCAATTGAGTCTCGACCCCCCCGCGAAATGTTCAGCACCCCCTTTCAAAAACGTAGTTTGTTTGGAATCGCACACTTACTTCCCTCAAATGTTGATCTCTGTTGCTGGTAGCACGCCAGATCAACAACCTCGGCGGTGCTGACTATCAGCTGCCCAGTGGAGGACGGGATTCCGATCGCCGGTCAAGGTGAAAGGAGTTCCTTCCATTTGGTTTCCAGCAAACGAGCAGATTGGAGGTTCCAGGCAGCAGCTAACGAAAGCGTGTCTTTGTGCTGAAGGTAACCTGTCATGAGTGCTCAAGACGCCTAGCTTTGTGGAGGTGTTTTAAGGAAATGGGAAGTCACACACACACACACATAAACGGTACCTTGTCAATGGACTCTTAATTTGTCCCACTTGCATAACCCTTACATACCCGAGTGCCCCAAGACGGGTTGAGCTGCACCCCAAAAGCGGCTGCAACCCAACAAATCAAAGGGCGCTTGCCCAGCATGAAGCTCCCAGTGGCAGTAAGAGATTCCAAAAGTTCGGGTCTCAACAGAAGCTGCGATCGACGTCTGAACTCGGTCTGCCCAGCAAGTTTCCAGGATAAATGCCCAATAAAAAGTGCGGATGAATGTCAAAAAAAGTGCGGATGAATGTCAACAAAAAGTGCCAGTTGTGAAAAGAGAGACCTTGTAAATTAGGGCAATGTACGAGGATTTTGTGGTTGGAGGTGATCGGTTCGCTTGTATTCCTCTATGCCAGTCACAGAGCTATTAGCACCTAAGCGCTCCGAGTACAGTAATCCCGCGCGGTCTTTTACGCGCAGAAAGAAGAACCCCAAAAGCCAATACACAGAGCACGTATATTTCTTTAAGATTGTGTTAACCGTTTTGCTTATGGCCTGTTTGAGAAGTAGAACTATAGTATTCCCAGAATCTTCCTAAATGTCGCTTTCCAGGGCTCTTGAGGAGGCGGGTTTTCCATTGGGCTTGGGTCACCCTCTGTGCTCTCACAGGCGCTGAGGAGGAGTCAGACTCATCGCACGAGGCTGGTTGCTCAGTTCAGAAGCCCCGCCACAGAATGACACAGACCCATGCGCCCTCAAGGATGAGGGGCTTGTTAGGAGTTATTACGTAGGGGGAAATAAGGCTAAATTTCAGGCCAAACAAGATGTGATGTTTTCTGTTTGGTTGTGGTAGGGGTAGATGCCCTGCAGTGACCACACCACGATCCCCACGTTGACCTGCTTGTAGGCACTCATGGATCTGTTTGGGTTGCTCTTCTTTGATGGCCCGTTGAAACGGGTTCTGTTTGGGTTTTGAAGCTTTCGATGCAGTGACGTTTGTAGGGACCATTCAAAACACCTTGGGACAGCCCCTTGAAACCGGACTACGCCTAAAACCCTTGACTGTAGCCAAATGCAAACGGCTCAGCGCCTTTCCCAAGGCCGGCTACGATGCGCTGATGACATCACTGGCGCGCCCGCTTGGGAAGAGGGCCAAGCTTTGCTTCGAGCCTCTAAAGGAGAACCACACGAGCAGAACATTTGTTGGGTTTCCCCTTTGCCAGGTACCAAGACGCCTGTGCCAGAGATCTCGGACAACCAGCAATCACCCAAGCACCAAGAAATGGACCCCTCCAGAAGCCTCGTTGAAAAGAAGCATCCTCCGGGATCCTTGAGTTCCTTTATGTGGGGAAGGTACCGACGCTCTTTTTTGTACCATAGTCAAACCACTTTTTGACTTGAGGCTGGGGATGGCTCGCTTGATAGGAATGTAGACAGCCATTGAACCACTTTCTACGAATAGAAGCCTGACCATAGCCCACATGAGGAGCTGTGGCCATGGCGTATGTCGGTGTGTCCGAGAATAGGAATCGTTCCTCTAGAATGGAAGATGTCCCTCTGATTTACCAGGGTTGCTCCAAACCATTGAATAAGGACCAAGAAAGCTGAAGTTGGTATTGACTTGTCTTGTTTTCCTCTCCAAGGACCAACCATTCATTTGTGCAAGGGTATTTGGAGCAACTCTGTTCACCTTTGAACACTACGCAACAAGAACAAAATAGTGCCAGAGTCACAACTGGGCCAATCTTTGAGGACTAGGTGTTGCTGCCCCCAGTCATGGCCAAGCCACCCAGGGCGCTGAGCATGTTGGACACCAAGAAAGGGCGCTAGCAACTCTTTTGTAGGGTGGAAGCCCAGACCACAATGGGACTTCACAGTTACGGATTAACATGAAGGGAAATGCCTCTACAAAATAGTTGGCGTGCTGCGTGGATCCTTATTCAATTTGTCTGGTTGGGGTTGCCTCTTTCCTTTTGGAGAGGTGTTCTGCACTTCTACTGGGAGGGGCGTTGGGGCTTATGTTCCTTAGGCTTGCCAAAGGGCAGAAGGTAACTTGATTCTAATTTGGAACGGTTTGTATTTCCAAGGCACGGAGTTGGCCCGCAGCCTTGAAGTAGATCGACGCCGCCAGCAGTAAGACCCGGAGAAATCATCATCAGACTTTGCATTGCAAGTAGACCCCTTCGGCTGTCCACTTTTCAACCGGCCTGGTGGCAAGCTTGATGGTAACATATCGCAAATTGCGCATACCTTCGAATCCGCAGATGAATCAGGGAGTGAACCTACAACAATGTACCTCACCTGCCAAGGTTTGCGACCTTACAGCTTCCTCCCACAAGCTCCCTCTACATCCATTTGATGGCGGGTTTCCCAGCACAGCGGCGCATGGGTCCACCTGCCCAGACGTGCCTCGTTGCGCCAAGTGGCACACGCGTGAGAGGGACGCCTGCAAGACGCTCGCCAAGAAGCTGGGGTACCTCTACTTGTGCGCGCCCTCGGCGAGGTGCTTGACTTGCAGGAGGCAGCACGTACTTGAAGTCTCCATGACCCTTTAAAAGTAGGTCCATGACCCCATTGTTTAGGGTAATGACTCATTTTTAAAGGGTGTCATGGAGACTCTAGGTAGAGGTGGAAGCTGTTCTCGCAAACTGCGTGTCTTCCGAGACGAACGCCCGCGCCTGGGCGAGAACAAGCGAAGCCGCGGCCGGCCACTTCCAGATGACCTAGACCTTTTCCTTCGCTCTCACGGCTTCGGTTTGCGCCGGCTGCAGACCCGGCACACCAACAATGGAACCACCCTCAGGTTAGCATTTTGCCAGGGTCACTGGCCTGGCAACACAACTTTCTCTTGGTGTTCAGCATGTTTTCGAGGCCGCAGCTCTTTGGCCTCTTCATGGGTGGACCCGGCGAATTCTTAAACTGATTGGCACCATATTGCGAGCTCATTTTCCGAGATCATGGTGATTGGCCTTGGCGTATCACCGAAAGCCACCAGTATCCACCCCCAATTTCAAGGCTTATGCCAGTTTTCAGCTCATTCTATCATATTTTAGCTCGGTATGGCTTTCTTACAAAGAACATTGGTGGCAGTTCGTCCGTTCAATATATGGAGGAAAAAAAGGCGCACGGCCTGTTTCCAGTCGTTGGGTAATTGGATTTGTTGCTTGGGGGAAGGAATTTTGCTCTCAGATTCTGAGGTCCACGACACTTTCCCTCTCACCAACTACTTGTAACATTGTAGCATGGAACCCACCAGAGGGTCCTTGCGAGCGGGGGTCCAACATAACAAGGGTCCTTGTTAGCGGAAAATCACACCAGGGGGCCAACACAGCCGCACAACCCACACCTGTATTCTCTTCATGTTCCTGCACAAGACACATGCGGCCACGTCTCCGCGGCTGTGATTTTGTTTGTGATGCGAGCGCCGCTTGCGCAAGACCAAGTGGCAGGTCTTGATCCACCAGATGTCCCACATCCTGGGCAAGAAGCGGGTGCCCTGGAGCCAGGCCCAGGGCTCGCTCGGCCCAGGGCTCGCACAGCGCGGGGCGGTTGGGGCGGTTGGGGCGGTCGGGGCGAGCTGGGGCGGGGTTGCGCTTCAAAACGGACCCGCAAGAAAAGGTGTCATAAGGTGTCCTGGTTTCCTGGCCACTGGAGTTCGTATATACACAGTAGAATATTTGTTTTAAATGCAGGCAGCGAGAGGAGCATCGAGTGGCGGTGTTGGCAGACCGTCATTTTTGAAGCTGTAGCTGTATGCATTTAGTTTAAGCGCAAACTTCTTCAGAGGTAAGGCCTGAGTAACTGACACATGCATCATGTCTATGTGGCAGTCAAATTAGATTTCACCAGTACGGTTTCAGCATGCTTCCCCGCCTTTCTGTGTTTCTCCTTGAACCCACCATAATTACCAGTTCACCTTATTTATTGCGCACGGCTACGCCCTTAATTGATTCCAAGACTGAGCTGCTTTTGGGTTTCCGTCATCTCCCCCACCAGAAACAATCAGAGACACGTTCACCTTTGGCAGTGGCCTGGCCACGCATTGGTGGTTTACATTGTCGGGATTCGATTCCCTGACTTCTGGTGATTGACCCAATGGAAAGCCCCAGCCGGGGCCACCTCAAAACCACCGGGCATGTTTCTGCGTACGGCCATGGTGGGGTCTCCAAGAGGGACCGCCTAAGCATGGCTTGTTTACACATCATCCAAGATGAGGTCACGGACAAAGTCACGCGCCCAAATGTTGGTTGCCTTTGATTTTTGAGAACGCTAAAGGGGGTTAAACGGAAGAACACCACCCAAAAGGGGATTGGCTTGCGCCCCGGAAGGCCTACTGTCAACCTTGTGTTCAAGTCCCAAGGTCCTACACCAAACGGACATACCCCCCTATAAGATACATGGTTGGGTGGCTTTTGGGGTATGTACCCTGGGCGGCCCCTTTCTAAACCCTACATAGCCCACTTTGGGGCATGTCCATTTGGGGTATGGAAGTAGGAGAAGGAAGCACAAGCAAGCCAACTGTATTCAGAATGTATTCATCTATACATATTAAATACGATGCATATATCTAGATACAACATACATATATACACATATATATATATATATGAGCAACTGTTACTATTGAAGGGTATTTGCTTTGGGTTGTCCCATCGGTTGTGCAGTTTGATAGCGACGGGTATCGATTTGGGGTAGTCCACACGGTTTGACCTGATAATTATAATGCTGTCGGGGTTGTGACATTGTTATATCATATTATTTAGCAATATTATACATATTATATAGGATACTAATGTGAAGTAGATTGGGCCTGTCGGTACCCTACAGCCGAACCCCAAAGATCCAGTTGGGCCTTACTTAGCCTACTATCCCCTTGCACTTTCATGTTTGTGGGAGGGCAACCATTTTGTGGTTTTCAACCATGGTTCCTTTCAAACATCCAGCCCTTCATTGTTTTCAGTGTGCTGGAAAGCCTTCGACGTTGGATCCCTAAATGGGCTGTGGTCGCCTCCCGAGTTCCCTGCCTTCAGTTGGACTTCGGCCCGCTTCGGAAGCGCACGGCGGACGACGCCCGGCGCTCTTTGACGGAGATGCTGCCGCTCTCCGTGAACCGCCCGGGTCCTGAGCCGAGGAGGGCGGAATTCTCGACACCGGGTGTCTTCTGTGGTGGAACCGTTTATTGAGAGTAGTTCGATGGAGAATATGGAAATGTGCTTCTGAGGGATTTCCCAATGTTTTGAGTTTCATCAAAGCACACACACACACACACCAAACACAGCCCCTGTAGGAAGACTAAGGTCGTGGTTTTGAGGAGGGTTGGCAGAATCAGATTTATGAATCTGGTGAATCAGACAGTGAGCCTTGCGTTACTGCCGAGGTCTGGGGTGTAACACGTAGCCTGATGGTTAGTTTGTTGTGGATGAACTAGATGTTCTATTCCATAGCCTTCATTCCATGGGGGGGAGACGCCCTCTTCATTTCTCCAGAGAGGAGTCGAAAGGCAAATCGTGCTGAAAGAATGGATCAACATTGAGGGGGGTACCTGCTAGTGCGGGGTGCGTTTATTCCCTCCTTCACTTGCAGGTGAAAGGAGAAAGAGGTATGCATCAAACCTAAGGATCTTCTTAGGTATGCATCAAACCTAAGGATCTTCTTTCGGTCCATGCAAGGAGACCCAACCTGAGGTACCAGCGGGGCTCGATTCCCTTTGTTTGCACAAATGAGGACCCGTTTCGGTGTCAGAACCCCCCTTTGCGGCTGTCCATGTTGTCAATCCCATGTGGCCGTCTGACTAGTGACTGGGGCCAAATGGACTCCACAGTTGCAGGCTTGCGTTGAGCGAATCGACCGTTTGCCCGATGTTTGGTTACCTTTTGGCAGTCTAAATGCTTAGCATAGCCTTGGATTTCCTTTTTCGGGCAAAAAAAGGTGGTCGGTTTGGAACACACAAAACCAAGCAAACAAACAAACAAACAAACAAACAAACAAACAAGCCAAAAAGAAACACAACAAAAGCACAAGCATCCAGCTTCCCCTGATCCATCGTAGCTCGAGCGAGGTATTCGGCTGGTCAAGGCCCAGCCGAATGTGATCAACCTCAGCGGCAGGGATGAGGCGACATGGAAGCCGGCAAACTCGCCAGAGAACAGGATTAATCTTCCTTCGGTGTAGGGAAGGTCATCTTTGCCAGAGTTATTCACCCTCTTGCGCTTTGGCCCTTTTGGTATTCCTTGGTCTTCCCTTTCAACCAGAAAACCGTTTTCCCCTGGTCATCGTCTCGGATTTGGTTGCGGCCTGGAGGAAGCTCTTAGTTCCTGCCCCCCTGGCAAGTGACCTGTTTGCCGCCTTCAAATGAGTTCCTTTTGAAGGGGCGTTGTTAGGTATAAAGCATAAGGAACCCTGTGAAACCAGGCAGGAGCCCCTGTCCTTTCGGTTCTAGGCCTTATTTTTTGCTCACCACTCACGGTCGATCTGGGTTCGGGACATTGGTGACTCAAACTCCAAGCGTGTAGTTGGAGGGGGTTCCTTGATTTCCATAAGGGATCAACGGCAAAGCCATTCTGCATTTGCTGTGGGACCACCATCTTAGTAACCACCACATTTTCCTGCAGCTTGATAGGATCTTGGGATCGCCAGGCGGACATGAGCCGCCACTTCATGATGTCCGGATACCCACCGAGCTGGAAGAAGTGGGACTTGATGAAGGCACGCCACGCAATGAACGAAATAATACAAACAGGGCCCTCAAAGGATGCAAACCCCATCCCCCGTGATTATACGAGAATTTTCGGGTAGGGGGTGCACATGGTTAAAACGCAGAATGTTATGTGCATTTCCCGGTGCTTTCCCTTGCTGGGGAAACAGGACACGTGCAGAACCTAGGGGACGAAGATTCGGCAGTTGGGACTCGTAGCTGAACACCTCGAACAGCCAGGGCTGTTGGGCGGGAGGGTTCAAAAGGAACAAGGTTGAAACTGGGCTTGTCTCGAAATGAGAGGGAACCTCCACATGATGGATGTCTCTTTGCTGAAGAAAGGCACTGACGCACACAGCACACACACACACACAAATCCTTGAGGCCAACATTGGGGCCAAATTAAATCGGGACTGAACAAGGGGTTTGCTTTCAATCCCTGGGCTACATGTTCAAGGTTCGTTTTTTGGGGGGGTCCTTATGTTGTCAGGTTGGCGAAGCAATTGAATTGTCCCAGAGAAGAACTGAAGAAAGCAAGGAAAAGGGCACACCAATCCTGATGATTTGCCATATTTCTGGCTGGCCAGCTTTTTCGTTGAATTGGAGATCAAGGCATCCATGGGGCAAGTCTTCCTGCAGAATTGAAAGACAATGGACACATAATCTTATTTGAGGAGCTTAATGAGTGGATAGCAATCCTGGTTCGCCCATTTCGCCTTGATTCGGGTCCCTATCTGTCACCCCCCCCTTCGTGTGAGTTATTTGCCCACGGCCACCAACTTAGTATTTATGTGCTTCTTTAATCCGTCTATGTGCCATGGCCAAAACACTTCTGCTCGGGGTAGGCATGGTCATCAGCCCCTTGGTAGGGGGTTTTAACAATCAATATGCGCGAACCATGCCCATGACCCAGATGGGGAGTTTGACTCTTGCAAATTTGGCATACACTTTGCCGGTGTATGACATGTCGCTTCTGAAAATCAAGAGAAGGAACCCACACAACTTTTCCCTACACAGAGGAATATTCTTTGTTGGATCGGACCCTTTCTCGTCGGGTTCCATGTTGATGTTTAGCAGGCAAGGTTGAGTCAGATGTATCCGCATTTGGCCAATCTGTTGGAAGCCCCATTTTATGGTCAAGTCCATAATTACACCCAACAACCATCTTTGGGCGAATCCGGGAATCACCAAATTCACCTACTAAAAGTTGCGGATGCCTGCTAAAGGCTAAGTGCATGATAGCAACCATAGTTGCAACCTACTTAGGGTCGCCAACCACTTTCAAAGTAGCCTGCCTCCTTACAGGGAAGATACCAACTAGCTTTTGAACTAGCCACTGCGCAGACTTGTTCCCAACTCAAGTGGTCTTTGGCTTTTCTCATCTCAGTATCTCCGACTTTGTCCAGAGCTGGCATCCTCTTGGAACAAGGTCTGTTATGGTTGCTTCGAGCCTCTAAAAGTGTCCCTTTATTTTTATTTTCCTTTACCCGGTCCTTTCGCTAGGGCTTTTGGAGCAACCCTGTCTCTGCAGAGCATTAAAACCAATGCAGGCTGGCACAAATACTGTGAAGGAAGCGCGTTCATCAAGCATGCAAAACCCGTGCACTTTGTACGTATTGTTGAATATCATATTTCTATGGCAAATAAGTGTGCAGACTGTTTCGTGAATCCAAACAAAATGTGAACTATTTCGTCAATGTGTCACAATTACGTTGTCGTTCTCCATAAATCCTCTATGACATCGCAAATGCTCCCTATGTGCGGCAATTATGAGATAAGCATGGCATTTACAGCTTCCATGTTTGGTTGAGTGCCAGTAGTAGCAAAGGGTTCATTTTTTTAAGGCGGCATCCAACTGTCCATAGACACGCTTGCTCCTCGCCCCCCACGGGCTGACTGGATGACAAGGAATGAAACTTGGTTTGGCTTCCTTTGCATTCCTTTTAGGGTTTGTTGCCCCGATCGGGTCAAATGGGAGCAACCCGATGAGTCGTTGGAACAGGTCTGGTCTCCGCTCTGGGTTGGCCTCTCCTACATCGACGACAGCTCATGCTGGGTCATTGCGAGGCTGCTGAGATCGTGCTTGTCGAAACGAGGCATGCCGCCCAGACGCAGCTCTTTGATTTGAGGCATTCAAGGGTTTACCGGGAATTGCTCAGTCAATTAATTTGATTTTGCTTCATTGATTGTTTTCATTTGCTTAGTTTAATTTTGATTGTGTTTTGATTTGATTGAATTTGGTTCGAGTTGATTGGATGGATGGATGGATGGATGGATGGATGGATGGATGGAATGACTGACTGACTGACTGACTGACTGACTGACTGACTGACTGACTGACTGACTGAGTGACAAACTGACTGACTGACTGACTGACAGACTGACAGACTGACTGACAGACTGACAGACTGACAGACTGACAGACTGACAGACTGACAGACTGACAGACTGACAGACTGACAGACTGACTGACTGACTGACTGACTGACTGACTGACTGACTGACTGACTGACTGACTGACTGACTGACTCTTTGTTTGTTTGTTTGTTTGTTTGTGTGTGTGTGTTTGTTTGTTTGGTGTCTTGCTTTGTTTTGTTTGTTTGTTTGTTTGTTTGTTTGGTTTGTTTGTTTGTTTGTTTGTTTGTTTGTTTGTTTGTGTGTTTGCTTGGTTGTTTGGTTGTTTGTTTGTTTCTTTGTTTGATTATTTGTTCATTTCGTTTGTTCTTTCTTTCTCTGTTTGATTGTTTGTTTGATTGATTGATTGATTTATTGTATTGTTTGATTGTTTGATTGATCGATCGATCGGTTTGGTTGATTGATTTGATTTGATGTGATTTCGCTTGACTTGACTTGACTTGATTGATTGATTGATTGATTGATTGATTGACTGATTTGATTGATTGATTGATTTGATTGATTGATTGATTCATTGATTCATTGATTCATTGATTCATTGATTCATTGATTCATTGATTCATTGATGCATTGATTCATTGATTCGTTGATTCATTGATTCGTTGATTGATTGATTGGTTGCTTAATTGATTGATTGATTCATTGGAGCAGATTGGATTGGATTGGATTTGGTTGATTTGATTTAATGTGATTGTCGTTGATTTGTCCCTGATTTGATTTGAGTATGAGTTGGTTCTGATTTGATTTGATTTGATTTGTTTGAAATGAATGAATGGATGAATTAATGAATGAATGAACGAACCAATGAATGAAATAATTAGTGAATGAATGGATGGATGGATGGATGGATGGATGGATGGATGGATGGATGAATGGATGAGTGGTTGATGTAGAGTTCCTAAACACATATTTGTCCATGTGTTGTGTGGTGCATTTATTCGGTGCGATGCTTATGATACATGGTGTTATAGTTTTTCTTGTTGCGTGCTTGTGGGTTCTGACACACCAATTTGGCCCTATGTATTTCTGCATTAATTTGTGTGTCTTCATGTATGTGTCCAGTTGTTTGTGTCTGTGCATGGATGTAGCGGTGTATGCATCTATGGGAAAAAAGGGATCGATTGGTTGATTTAGTTAGTTATTCAGTTGTTGAGGTTTGTTGTTTAAAAGAAAGAAACAAATAACACATTGTTTAAAGATAAATATGCCTATGTCATGTGTTCACACGTACATGCATACATGTGTAATAATACATATACATATGCACATTCATTTTCATGTATCGAGTATAGCATATATGTGTACATGTGTGTGTGCATCCTCATAGAGCAGAGTTGGCGAGGTATTCTAACAGGCGCTTGTGACAAAAAAGTGGGTTTTCTTTGAAGGGTTGGAGTCGTCTTGAGTTCGCTTTAATCTGTGCCCGTAAAAGATTCCCAGATTTGACGCGAGAGCCAGCAAAGGATCATACCGGGTCATGGACAAAATTGATTCAAACAAGGAGATCTGATTCGAGCCCTTTAAAAGGGGGAACCACTGACTTGATTGAAAAAGAAACAAACTTGCGAAGAGAACCAGTTCATCTTTTGTTTGTGTTGTTTTTCCATGTGTGACTGAAGCCAAGTTCAAACTTGTTGGTCCAAAAGGGCGCTGTTGATGCAGTGGTGTTTTCATCCGCCGCGTTAAAGCAGCACAACAACGGCGTCGTGGAATTTGATGTTACTGGCTCGTATTGCCAGGAACGAGGCTGATGCCTTAAGCCTCCAGAAAATCTACAAGATGATCGAGGACACATCGACCCGAGTCACGCAATGTTGACGCCGTACATGACTCGATACGTGGGTGTTTCCCCAAAAAAGGAAGGATTCCTTCCTTCTACAACCGGACACAGCCGCCCAATTAAATTCTTTCACCAGGGGGTTATTACTCTCCAGTTCATGGGTTCCTATCAAACTATCAAACCAGAAGCCCGCCCCTCCCCCCCGATGGACTGTCAGGAACTATGCGGGAACCACAGGTGATTGTCTTGTCCTCATATCATTCGCTCTAAGGCTTCCGAATTGCAGGGCTTCGTGTGTGAGGCGAATCCTGACATCCTGAATCATGACGGAAGGCAACCGTCCTCATCCCGAAACTTCCACCTTCGCAGTTGGCCACGCGGCACTTTCTCCACGTAGACGAGTTTGGATGGTTGCTCGTTACGCCCATTGTTGACACCGCCCAGCTGTTCCCAGGGCTGACGCGGTGCAGGGCACAGAGACTGTCAGATAGTTGTCTGAAAATTGCACTTGAAATGGGAGCAGCCTGTCGCGTGAGGATTGCCAAAAAGCAACGCCTTACAGCAGCTCCTAGCATTCTTGTGTCACCTTGTCAACCTTTGGTCGAGGTGCTTCACTTTCCAGCCTCTCCAACTAAGTTGCCATGGCATCTTCTGGAGACTTGGATGGCCAAGATAAGCCCCTGCCGGCACTGCCTGCGGCGGAGCTGCTTGCAGAATGGCTCGCTGAACTTGTTTCGCAGTTCTGCGCACTTTCCACTGCACCTATGGCTTAGTATGGCTTAGTCTTTTTTGGGAACATGAGTATTCTCGCCGGCTCGCAGAAAGTTGAACGTTCGGGCAAGGTGCGACAGCCATCTAGAACAGAGTTGTGGGAATGTGGGGTTGCTTCCCGCTTGGGTGATAATTACCATGCAGGGACCCTCCCCATTGTAAAGAAATCGTTTTCAAAACCAGCCAGCTAAAACGGGATCCCTTTATCACTGGGAATGCAAAAACCATCCAAACCAAAAAGGCGCAACTCAGGCAAGCACAGCCTTGGGCCAGCGCAATTTCGTCACAGGGACCTCACCGACGACTGAATTCGGACCCCATAAAGGAACCTTCGGGATTTCTCATGGTGACGGTTTTGGTGTTTTATTCAGCTTTGTCATGTTCGCCCTCGATTTGGAACCCGGCGGAACCAGCGCGGGTGCAACTCCCCCAAAGTGCTCCGGATCCCCTCGAAAAGGGGGTGCACGCCTCCAAAAGAACAAAAAAAGAAGACGTACGTAATCACCAACTTGAGATCCAACAATTTGATTTGCCCAAACAGATAGTAACACAAATCCCAAGCAACGACAACTCTGGTACGCGCCTTGGAAAAGCTAAAACCTAATCCTGGGCACAGGAGCCGAGCTTTCAGCTGCAGAGCTACGAGGAGTATAAGGCAACGCCCGGGACGTGTCACCGGCGTTGCTGACGAGCTCACCGAGTGGGGCGGAACAAAAATGGAGACCCCCACCCCGGGTTCGATGAACACTCCTCGATCTGGGCCTCTTTAAGAAGGTTCTAAGACCCTTTCCCGGGGTGAGGGCCTTTAGTGCAGTTTCTGGGGGTAGAACGCGCGATTTAGCCTATGATGAAGGTCCCTGATTTCCAATGTGTGAATGATAGTTATTTTGTTTGCGGATGGTTTGCTTCTTGAACATCTAAAACGCGGATGCTTACACATGAGGCTCAACAAATGCACACATTCGGGATGGCCTCAACCAGATTGTGGCAGTGGGTTTTGACATGAAAATGGTTTCTTACTTGGGAATTTCTTATTTCAGGAGTGTCAAGTATACCCTCTCACGCAGGTGGTATGGCGCACAGGAGCCTTTCCTAAAGGAACGGAGTGGTCAACTTGTATCTCCTACTTTCGATGGGGCCATGGCCACACCAGATTTATCAGCAACGGGGGTTGGTAGATCTGGTGGCCTAAGGCTGGCCCTGGTATTTGCCGGCTGTATGCCGCTAATGTCGGCAACACAATGAAGATTATCGAAGATGCTCCCGCTTTGAAGGGCCAAATGAGCCATGTTTGCTCGTTGATGCTAGCGTAGAAAGGGTCGCTTCAACCAGCAACTACGGGGCAACCACACCGTTTGAGAGAGAATCTGAGGGCCGCGGTGTAGCTGCTAGCAAACCTTCAAGGATGCTTTCTGCTGACTTTTGTTTGATTGTTGACATGGTTGGTTTGTTGTTGGCTGTGGTTGTTGCATCAGACCACTGATTGATCAATGGTCCTGCGAAGGTGACCTGACAAAAGCCCCTGCAGCGGATGCCCTAAATCTTGCAAGTCGCGATCATCGAATCGCAAACACCTGCACCTTGTAAGTTGAGCTCATTTACAGGAAGCTTGTCGCCCTTCTCGCTTGATGTTGAGTTTGCATCGCCTAGAGGCTTGCCAGAAAAACAAGGTCCCTTGGATCATGGTTTCGTGTTAGCCTTCACACAAAATTGAGACCCGAAGGGTTTCACCATCTTGTCAACCCTTGTGCAAAACAGGCGCGACTATGCACTGTGTTCACAACACAACATGTGATCAGTCGCCTTGACAAACAGCGGAAGCCCTAAAATGTTGCACATGAACCAAGCATAGTTGGACGCCACCAAGCTGTTCTCGATCTGATATCACCTTGGTTGGGGATTTGATTGATTATTGGATACTTTGAGATGACGGAACTAGAACATTGGCAAAGGGTGTTGGGTGGTCGTAGTTTGTACGGGCTTTGTTTTTCTTGTTGAGAAGGCTTAATTATTCTTACAGGAGATACAGGATGGTGGCTGGGCTGCCAAAGACAGTGAAAGATGAAAGGGATGGTGACAACGCTGTAAGTGACAGTGGGAAAGCTGCAAGTGGCAAATGTGCGATCAATTAGTCGAGTCAATCTGTTTGTTTTAAAGCTCTTGCTACGCGTTGCTGGCAATGTGCCTTGCATTGTCTACCTGCTCTTCTCTGCAGCAAGCATTGATGATGACCTTTTAGAAGCTTTAGTTGTGAGTGGACGTTGATTTGGAGACGTGATTTTGAACCCCATGACACTGACCCGTGCTAGTTTTCAGTTGGGAGGAAAAGGTAGCTTGGGTTGCAGTTCTATAGGTTGCTTAATGGTGTGTGTGTGTGTCCTCTTCCCCTGCGAGAATGTTATACTGAGGTTCTGATTTGGTTGCCCCGCTAGCTGCTGAGTTGGGGCTGGTTGAAGCGTCTCCAGCGACGCTGCAGCAGCAGCAGCAGCAGCAGCAGCAGCAGCAGCAGCAAGCAGAACTGAGGCAGCAGCAGCGCATGCAGAAGCCGCCTTTGCCCCTGGACGCGCAACTGAGGAACGCGACCCTCCGAAGCCGGCAAATCGAGCTAACAGCAAGAGGCCCTCATCACGTGGTAGGCACCTGAAAACCAGGAATCCCCGAGTCCGCAAGTGAAAAAACCTTTGCCATGGGCTTTTGGTCGCGCACCTCCGGTCCCGTTTTACGGCCGTAGGCCAACGCGGCGGACACCGCCACTCCCGCCTTGAACCCCTCGAGCTGAGCATAGCGAGATCCAAGCGGCGAGTAGCCAAGACAGTAGGTTCAAGCGGAGGCAAAAGTATTGCGTTGGATGTTCAACCGACTTGCGCCTTTCAGTTCTAAATGTTTGATACATTTAGGATAAATTTCAAAAGCAAGTGGGAGCAAAAGAGGAGCTTCCACTTGCAGGGACCACTTGGGTTGCTGCTAGTTTTCTGCCATTGTGCTCAAAGCTCATCCAGATAAAGAACAGATCCTAGATGGTTTGTGAAGAACGTTTTCTGGCACATGGCACGTGAGACTTAGTGGCAACGGCCAGACACGTCTTGTTCGAGGTGTGTGTGTGTGTGTGGGCTAAAGTTGGTCGGACCGCCGGGATGATGTGTTAATGGGCATGTAATCAACAACCCTTTTTACGGGTTTTTCAGCCACCCGAGCGATTTCTATGGAAGGAACCATGATAACGATCACGGCGAAAGGACGGAGTTGTGTTTTGTGCCATAGAATGTCGCTGTGAGACAGTCCCCAGCGTGTGACAGTTTTCTCTAGGCTACCAAGTGGAGCAATTGCTGGAGGCTGTAAGTGTCTTTCTAGGTTGTTTTTGGTTGCGGATGGCAGTGGCTTCAGAAATGTGTCTAATGATTCACCGGCATGTTGAAGTGCTTTGGGTAACCAGCAAGTCCACGGCAATGCGAACCTGTGAGGAAGAAGCCCTGGTATGAACCCGTGGCCCCAGTTTGACCCGCATATCTACACGGCAGTAAAGAAGAACCTGGCCCCCTGGCATGAACCGTTCGTAATGTGTGATGACTCAGCTGAAACATGGCTCAACCAATCTTGGGAAACCAGCCCCTGAGCAGGAGCCGTCGGAGTGTCGGAAATTTGGGGACTCATCAGCTGGGGCTTCAGGTTGTTCTTGGGGAACAAAAGAAGGCTTGCTTGGCATAATATTGGACATCAAGAGGAAGCCCGCCATTCGGCCTGGGAAGCCCGCCGGTGTGGTTTCCAGCGTAGGCCAGAGCCGGGAAGACGAGCCTGAGGCGTGCCGAATTGGGCTCACAGGATTAGGATCTCAGGTTTCTTAGGGTTGCTCCGAGCCTCTAAATAAGCAAGCCGCAAAGCGCAGAAAATAGATATTAGGCCCTTGGTTTTCTTTTTCCAGGGACATTTTTTTATGCGACCGATTTCACTTTGTTTGCCCCCTGGGGTGGGGACTGCCTCAGCCCATACACGGCCTTGTCCACCTTACATCACCTTACACAGCTCTCAGGAAGAGCCAATCCCTTCCGGACCAGCATGCTTGGTGGCTTCATTAGGATGATAGTCTCCCCTTCACAAACGCTGTCTTGACGTCCAAGATCGTTCGGCCCAAGCCAGGACTTCAACTCCCTAAGTGTTGAGTCTTGAGCGGTGAGCCAGCCGGAAGGATGAATTGAACATTATCATTGATATAGATGTTTCCTAGAGTAGGGTGGGTGGGTGGACTCCGTTTGGGTTCCCTATGCCAAAAGCGGTCCCCTTATCTTGGAATGCCCATGTTTTGACACTCCGTTGGCAAAAGACCAGTTAGTTGAAAACAACTTCTGAGAGCCGGCGCGCCGATGGGTATGGACGGGCGGTTGCACGCCGCTTTTGCTTCCGCCAGGTCTCTTTGCCTCAGGCGGGTCGCTGAAGCCGCGGCCGAGGTGAAGTTGTCAGACAGGGTGGTTGCATTAAACACAAAACGCGCATCTATTTGCAACTTCCCCGTTCTTTTCTGAGATCCCCTTTTTTGCCAACACAACCCCTGAAAGAAAAAGATGCAGTTAATTGAACACGTCGATGGTTGAGCGGAATGGGGAAGACTCCAGAAAGTCCACCATGGAACCCCAAAAACATTGTTGTTTGAAGAATCTCGTGTTTTGGGGACCCCCGCTTCTTTTGCAGGAGAGTTTTCATTCTAACGGTATGTCCTTTGTTGCGAGTACTCTTTACGGGGCTTGATCTACGCATTTTGTTTTAGAGACATGCCCCGAACACATACATATATTTGTATATGCATACATAAAACATGAATATAAACAAGTCCTCATATTTGAAAGCTCAAAGGAGCCTCTCAAAGGTTTGAGGTTAAAACAATTATTCTCCGTGGCTATCCATGTCTCCAGGCACCCGAGCCCGAGGAGGCGCGGGGAAACGAAAAAAGGGGTGCGAGAGTAGGGGGGCGCCGCGTGCTTAGTTGGAAACTCATTTGGGTGCCTGTGTGTGTTTGGGGTTTTTGAGGGCATCCTTTTTCAGCTTGGTTTCAAGGGAAACCAAAAGGAAAGCCAACATTTTGAGAGGTCCGCAAATTTCAGAAATACCCAGTTGATCAATGACCCCCTTGCTTCTGATTGATCAGGGTGGTGAAAAGTGCGCCGAGTTGTTGCATGGATGAGGCTTAAGCACCAACGTTGAACACAATGCTTCCTGCTGAACTCCAATTGCAGCTTTATTCGCTTTTGCGGGGATCCTTCTTTCCAGGGAAGACAGTGTTTCAACAGAATTTCAACAGAACGATAGTTGAAATTGTTGGGCAAGAACTCAACCCCTTGTGGCATCTTGCGCCATCTTGCAAGACTGCCAGGTGGCCAGAAGCAGAGAGCCCCGCGCAGCCGGGAGCCCAGCATTTCAAGAACCGGCTTTCGCTCACTCCCTTGCATTCATCAAGAGAAATGCAAAACGTGGATTCGGTTTGATTACAACAACAAAGTTGCAGCTGAGATTGGGCATGATTTCTACCTGGGTTATTTGTGAGCCGATCGGGTCTTCGGAGCAACCCTGTTCAACATGGTAGGCCCCCTTTAGGCTGCTGGAAACCTAGCATTGTAGCTTTCCCTTAGTTCAAGACACAGTACACGCTCAGACATAAAGGGTTGTACCACCTGGGGCATGGGAGTTGCTTGGGCCTGGGACTCAATTTGCATGCCACATGGAGAAATTTGAAGAAGTGGCTATCATTTGACAGTTTGTTTTGCAGGATACGAACTTGCTGGGAGGAGGTTGGTGACTCCCCAGCCATTGATGCGTTGTCGATCTTTGACGGAGAAGCAAAGTAACGCCTGAACGAGAAAGCTGGCCGTTCGCCTTGGGCAGATGTCAAGCAAAAAATATTCTTCATTTATCTGGTACATTGGGGCCTGTTTGGCACCATTTGTGCAGGTTAGGTTTGGCTAAATGCACCATCATCTGAGTATGTTGCTTGTTGGGGGCAGATCTTGAAGCTGTAAACTCAGTAAACGTCGTCAGTAGGCCATATAAGCAAAATGTGGGTCGAAAAATAATAATCAGGGATTCGTAAGCCTTTTCACCCGGAAATGAGGCCCCGTTCGGCTTTGTTGGTTGGGTTCGTGAGGATCTTACTGCGTACGCGACATCTAATTTTGTGGCTGTAAAGGGACATGATCATGACTCGCAGGTGATTCAGTGATCAGTGGGCCCTGAAGGAAATTGATGATATGTAACAGCCTGATCCAACCAGGAGCGTCGTGGTGATTTTGTTTGCTGGTCATTTAGCCATCTTTGCGAAGAAAGCAACCAGCAAACTGCTCCCTTGACAGCCTTGATCGCAGAGTGTCCTCATGTTTGAGATCCTTTCTTGGTTGGATTTTTCTGTGGGAAGCCAGAAGGAAACTAAAATTCACTTCAGATGAACCTGGATGACCTTATTAATCAGCTGAATTGCCCCTCAAATCAAATGTCGTGATTTCCCACTAAAGGATGAACCAGCCATCCTGCGGATGAGTTCGAACTTGACATCAGCAGTCTTAAGCGACCCCTTGTGATTGTATCCTCACCGTCCTCCTTTCCTGGACTAGCATCTCATTCATCCCGCCTCGAAACATAATCCGCTTTTGGGTTGTGAGAATGATTCCCTTGAAAGTAGACATATGGGTTGGTCAGCCCTTTCCTCACTTGCCCCAAAGGCCAAGTTCGACTCATTCAAGCGAGTCAAGCTGGGAAGCGGTGAGCACGGTTCATGCTGGTTCCAGATTGAACCCGGCGTTTGGTTCCTGGAATTGTTCCGCAACTCAGTGATTATGCCTTCAGAGGGCTTGCTTTCGGTTTTCGTTTGGAACCCAACCAAAGAGGGCAAGCACCATGTTCAATAGACCCCCACATTTGTGTTTTTTTCTTCAGTTGTCATTTGGTGACACCACAATGTTGCCCCTTTCAGGGTTTGAGCATCACCTTGTGCCATTTTGCAATGAGCCCGCTGACGAAAAGGCAAGCCCGCTTTAGGCGGTCGCTGGCTCAAGCTGGTGCTGTTTCTGGTTTCTCCACCATGCGATCTCTCTTCTCCAGCCGCTCTGAAGGAGGCAGGTACCGGGCACTGTTTGCCGTTTCGTGATGGCATGCTTCGTTTTGGTTTTCCCGTTCGTTCCGGCTGCTTTGTTCTGGAGGGAATGTCCCATCAACATCAGCTACAGAGAAGGCACCCCTATTTTCCATGGTCACTGGAGGTCTGGGTGTTTATCTCATTCGGTGGGAAGCTCAAGGGAACTTAAAGATGATTTAGGATGTTTTGCAGGTGTCCTGTATATTCCAAAATCCACGTTTTTTTTGTGGGGTCCCAACTTCCTGTACCTTTCCGAGCGGGCCTTGCTGTGTTTCCCAAATCAAATGAACTTCAAAGACGAGATCATGCAGGTACTCTTGCTCCTGTGACATCTAGGTTTCCTTGAGCGCTGAACCCCCCCCTTGAAGCCATTGTCTGTTTTTACTCACAACTTTCTACACAATAGCTTGTGCCCTGGCAAGCAAGCCTTCAATCCCTGTCGCGGAGTCGGGAGGTCTTGGCCGAAACTTATCACACTTCTCGATTTGTGTCATCCTTGAGCAGGGGCGAAGCCATTGCGGTTCTATTGCCTGGATTCCGTAGAGACCTTTATATCGTTGCCTTTGGTTGTAGAACCAAGAGACAATAGGTGTCGGGCGCCGCTCCCAGCGGGTTCTATCGTAAAATCCCGAGCATCCTGCAACCCCCAAAGCACTCGTTGCACTGAGACATTGCATCGGGGCCCGCCTGGCTGTATTGTTCCCTGGCCTCCCGCTTCAACCCGTTGCACCTTCCCGGGCAAAGCCATGTTCTGCACAGAGCGCTTGAATGGCCAAATGGCATTGCATCGGCATGAGTAGTCTCCAACGCACCCTTCGATCACACGCACTTCTCAGACAGTTCCGTCTGAACCTTTCTGGGTGGAGCGCTTTGGTGTTGCCCAGCCTTGGAATCCGTTAGTCCAGGCGCTGGTGAAGGCTTGCCACCGGTGAAGCTTCTGGTCATCCAGGCAGACGACTACGATTGGCCGGCCTCCTGTCCGGAAGATGGCACTCTGAGGGACGCACTGGAGAGATATGAGGTTCGTTGTGAAACAATCCTGATCTGCGTTTTGTCCAACTGGCAGGGACACGGGGAACTCACTAGATCTCGACCACAAAAGCAAGGAGGGAGGAGCTCCGCTTTTCCTGCCCTATTGCTCGTGGGAAACAAGTGATTTTGTACACTGCTCACGGCTGACCTCGTCAGCGGTGACGCCGAGGGAAGGTCAGCTTTCGCAGAAGGGGTCGGCAGCACCAAAATGCCTGTCTGCAATTAATTGCTGAACCAAGCGCCCCTGGAGATTCACATGGCAGAGGACATCTATCCAGTTTTAGAGACGTTTATTCTTGTTGGGACGGCCTTTTCTGGTTTAGGCTAGGTTTTGCTAGGTCAATTTGCAGGGAAGTAGTGGGAACTCAGAGTCAACCATCCTGCAGCCGATTGATAGAGGGAGCATCCCATTTCGAGAATGATGCGCTTACACATACTCTGGACCTTCCATCGAGAAGGCACAGAAAGGCAGTCTAATTACTTCCAAAGCCTCTCTGTGAGGTTCGAACAAATATGCAGTCAACACATGTCCCATAAGCCGGGAGTCAAATCAGGTTGCCTCGCCAGTTGTTCACCGCAAGTTTCTGAACCTCAGATGGTTTGGGAAGACTATAGATAGTAAAGGTTCAGGCTTCCTTGGACTCGTAAAGGGATCTCCTGATTTTGTGGTGCTGGCTTTCATCAGCTCGACATCAAGCACCATGCTTTACACTTGTGAAGAGCGAGCAGATGTCACTGGGCTCGAGCAACTCGAACACCATCAATCATGTGCAACACAAGGGCACCATGGACTTGCGCGATTGCACAGCATCGTGGGTCGGACACCACACAAGGGGTCGACTTGCAAGATGTCTAGATCAGCAGGCCGAAACTCTTGTGCACCATGTTCGTACTTGTAGGGTCTTTGCGTCCCATTGAATTGGGGATTTGCGTGCCGACCACATACGGGTACCCTAATCGTCCTGATTGTCCTGATGGAAGTCGGCGCCCCGCAAATAGGTTCTTTTTTGACACCCTAGAGCATCCTAGAGCACTTCAGGGAACCTGGGTTCATTCCACGCCCCTTCGGGACCCTTCAGGTAGCTCAGGTGTTTGGCGGTGTGTTTGCGGCAAAGCTGAGGTCATATTGAAGGGAGCGACGTTGGCGGACGGCCGACCCATCGCGGTGTACCAGACCGGGTGGCCGGATCTTCACGTGCATGCCAGCACCTACTCCTCTGCAAGGACGCGAGCGCGAATACAAAGTCAGGGGGCTGGGAGCGTCTGGGCTGAGTCCTCTTTTGGAAGAATGTTTCATGTCACGGGACCAGAATCAACGGTGGCAAAAGCCGAGCTGCAGGGGGTTCCCATGGCTTTCAGCTCCAGAGGGACCAGTTTCCAGTAGATGTGCCATTTGAACGACCAGTTGGGTTCGACCAATGCATTCAGCATGCATCGCTTTGCTTCTCCCGGTCTCATTTTTGGAATCCCCTGATCCTTCTTTAGTCGCATCCCAGTAACATGAGATTGACACGAGGAGTGTGGACAAAAAAAAGATGGAAGTAAGCATGCGGAAGGCCCCTGCTTTTTCACACCCACCCTCACTCGGGGGCCATAGGCTATACTACTGACCAAGGAGTCTGTGTGGGACCCTTCAGTTCACACTCGTTACTTCCCTGCGGATGAATTCGGCCCCCCGAAAGGGTTTTGAATCAGTGCATGGCAGGACGGTAGCAATGATGTAGACAAGTGCTTCCCACCAGGTTTTCTGCTTGTCAAAATCTACTTGCTAATGTGGACGCTCCTCTGAGGGGGGAAATATCGGTTTGGAGCAAAAAACGGGACTCCTAAATGTGGTTGGGTTCCCGTTGGTTTTCCTTTACACGTCAAAAAAAAGTTCCCCCAATTTTGAGACGTACTAATCTGGGTGCTGGTAGCCAAGAATGGTCAATATCCCAAAACGAAACGAAAAGGGGCTGGATCATAATTAGATTTTCCAGACCCCCTCTTTTGCACCCAGCAATATCAGGAGCCCCCCATCCAGCCGTCAGTGCGTCAGGATTTGCGTGGAGATTCTGCGGTGGGCACAGTGCGCCACACCGCCAGATGGCCACCAGGCAGGAAAGCGCATCACTATGCAGCCGGACTTTGTTCTCATCAGGACCGAAATGCCCCAATACTCATTCAGAGCGGACCTTGGGAGCAATGAGAAGTTCATGGCCTCAATGTCGGAGTCACCAACACTCACGAATAGTCGCTTTTTGATACTATTTTGCTGCAATCAGTCTATGACTTTCTGAACCGTGTGTTTGGCAACACCAAGGTGTGCCTGTGCACACACGCACGCAACAAGCCCCATTGCCCACCCACACCCCGCCCGCCTGCCCGCAAGCTGGCACGAGAGCAAGCGCGCGTACGTTTACATGCACTACCTCTTTACCCAAACGCACGTGCCCCCGCGCGCACGCTTGCACGCAAGCACGCTCGCACGCACGTGCCGCCCACCTTCGCGCGCATGCACGCAAACCCAGACACACAGGGACCCAGGGACACAGACATACACTCACTCGGAAGCACAACACCAACTGTTTCGCGGGCGCACACGCGTACGCAGAGAGTGTGAAGGGCCACTTCTCTGCAGGAATGAAGTGAAGACTCCAAACTTCGATGGCCGCAGCAGATTGGACGGCCTGCTTTTCGCAGGCTGTCGAAATTGGGCAGGGACACGGCTGGCATTTGGGAGGCGGAGCTGAGCTGCAGAGACAATTCTGGTGTCAGTTTAAGGGTTATTAAGACAATAGACGTCATCAAATTTCCAGTGGTGCCTTTTGCTCTTGGATTGGAGAGTGTTTCAATTCAAAGTCAATGATGGAGCAAATGGCTCCCCGTTGCCCATGGCCACGGAGGTCTCGAAGACATGTTCAGCCTTTGGGAAAATGTACGGAAACAAATTCCATCATCCCTGTAGGTTCCAATTCCTTTGCAAAGCCCGCAAAGGACCCCAATGTTAGCGGGCTGACAATGCATTCATTCCCCCAAGACCTTTAGGAAGCAAAGGTGAAATGGCCCGTTTCGGCTTGTGCATGAACGTGTTCGCACTGTGTGCGGCACCCCTTTGTGAGAAGCCCCGTTTTTCCTCTCTGAGCCAGTCGCCCCTAAGGTCTCATCTCTCAACCACTCACTCAAGTTCGCATGTGGCGCAGCTGGTTTATCGGGAGGATCAGGCCCCACAAAGGGATCAAACCTTCCGCGGAGCTCCCTGGATTCGACCGGCATGTGCCAAAGGCGTGCCGGCCATGAACTCGTTGGAGTCCATTTTGCTCTTCTGCGAGCGGCCGGCGGTGCAGGGCCACCTACATCGTCTCGAGCGGACACGTGGATCGATTGATGGAATCGGAAAGGGCCCAGGGTGGTAGATAAAAGCTCCCTCTTTGGGCAACCTTTCAGGATTGCCGTGGGTGTCTTAGGATTTCTTTCGGTTGCAGAGGGTTCCTTGGACAAACCAAGGCTACAGCGGTTTTGCCCGCAGAATCTCCCAGTGGCGACACAAATCTGGCTGTATTTCCCCTTCCTTTGTTTTGCGTAAGCACCTGTTTGTGAACCAAAAGATACAATGGCGGCCAAAACACAGGTTTGGAGATGGAAAAACAGGGTTTCCATTTCCACAACCACATGCCAGCCTTGGAGATGATTGCTCCAGATTGCAGAAAGTGGTCACATTTCCGGGGTCCTCAAGATGTCCTTTGCAACCCGGTGGTTGCCCTTGGAACCACAGTGTAGCTAGCATTGAGGATGTCTTACGACCATGGACCCAGTTGCTTGCCTCGAGGAAAATGGGGGAAGCTGAGTTCCCAGTGGTGAAGCAGCACTTTTGCTCCTCATCCAAGACGCTCATGTGCCCCTGGCTTCAGCGGATCTTCCGCGTCCATGGCTTCGGGTTCCTATTTTTTAGGGATGGCTGCTTCTGAACCCGAATCTGGTCTCAAGAACATGAGCATGTTTTGTGTAAGGCAGATTCGGGCCAAGCACTGCGGAGAAGAGACGGCACACCACAACACCCATCCATGTTCTACCTGAATACAAAAAGCAAATCCACTTTAGGATCGCAATCTACACTGAGATCGGACCTTTCTGGGTTCCATGTTTATTTGGGGAGAAGCCTCACCTTTCCGCGAAGTGCGACCCTTGTTTCGGCACGTGCCCAAAAACTGAGGTTTCCTTTGATTTCCCTCAACCCAGGTGAAAGAGGGTGCTGCGAACAAAGCGGAGGGGGCACTGTCTGTGTTTTTGTTGCCTCTTGACTTTCGTGGTTTTCTCCAGTTTTTTGGCAGTTTGGGCTGAAATCCATCAATATTGAGAAAACAAACAACAAGCACAAAACACAATATTGCAGACTCCACCCTCCTTGGTACCCCCTGTTAGGTTTGCAATCTTGGGTTTTGTGTTGTTGTTTCTTGGTTCATTGATGTTGATAGTCTATTAATGGTATTGTTATTCAACTGTACTGTGTGTATTACTTGCAACAACGCAGCCCTCCTGGCGTTCCCTTCTGGAGCTTTTAGCATTTGTCCATGTTCTGCAGTCACGAACCCAATCAGGGACTACCCGTGCAAGCCTTTGCGTGATGTTCCCAACATTGCTTGAATCATTGTCACCAGTGACTCTTGTTGATCCTGATTTGTAAACACATGTTGTTCTGGGAAGGATCCCTTTCATGTGCCGTGCAGTCAAGGCTACCGTGCAACATGCACGATGTGCGTTGCGTGTATCTTAGCATGTTTAGCTATGTTGTTTTTGGTCGGCCTGCAACAGTTGCAGGTCGTGGTGTTTGGCAAAGATGTGGTGGATTCCCGTAATACTGCAAGTACACCAGCCACAAACCATGGTGAGTTGCAGTTCTTCCCTACTTTTGAGAGTAACAGGATCGACTTAAATCAAGTGTGCACAAACTTGAAAACGGAGGATTGGCCACAGGCTCCGCACCCAGCGTTTGGAGGGTGCTGGTTGGGGAATGCATCAGAAGGCTTGAGAAGTTTAAGTGACTCAAGAAAGACTTGTCCACAGATGCAATTTGGCAATTTGAACCAGTACCTGTTCCACCAGACCAATAAGACAGCACGATTTTTGGGCTCCAGTCGACAATATGTGAAGCACTCCAGGTATGGATACACCTTCCCGGCGGTGGTGAAGGTGGGATCTGCGCATGCCGGCGCGGGGAAGATGAAGATCATGGACAAAGCCTTAGATTGCGCATGACCTGATCCCAAAGTTACTTTGGGGCTCGTTCCTTCCGGCGGACATTTGGACCTTGTGGGATAAAACTGCCAGAGACACTCCAGTGGTCATCTATTTTGTCTTGAAAGGGGTGCTTGCTTTTCGGGCGGGGTGTGATTAGCTGAGTTTTTTAGGGCATGCTTGTGTTCATGGTGTGGGTTTGAGGGGAAACGGTCGCAGGGGAACTGTGTTTTTGTTTCCTGAGGCACCAAGAATGCAAATGTAAGCCAGGGTAAAACCCTTTTGGCACACTTTTGGGACAATAGATGCACTAGCATTTGACCCCTCTGCAATAGAACAAGCGTAGAACCCTCTGTTTTTGGAGTAAGGACCACAGGCAGATGAGCGACTTCCGATCAGTCTTGGAAATGATGCCAGATGAGCACTGCAACCTGGCCGATTTATCGAAACTTGGGGAACCCGCGGGGGAGAGGAAAGACCACGGCCAACCAGCAACAAACACACCAAAATGGCTCTGTAACAAGAACGGCTGGCTCGTTGCACGCCCTTCGTTACATGCCTTCGTTAAACCCCTCGGTGACATGAACAACACCGCCTGGCTGGTTGCCTTCTTCTTGTTGCATATCCGGATGCATGTCCAGACTCTCAGTGATTGTTCATGGGTGCCGTCAGAGCAGGAGCATGCTTGCGCTGAAGAGTGAACTTGCAGCGCGCTTGCCATTCAGGAAAGTTGGAACCGGGGCCGGACAAAAAATACTTCTTTCTGCGCTATACCTCGTCACGCGCATCTCGCTTCATAGCCGGTACCTCATCACAGGCCCAACCCCAGCCCGGGCTAGCGACCGTCGCTTGGCTCGCGTTCACTCCTTGAACTTTCAAGCTGGAGCTGCAGAGCGCACATCAGACTTCGCGTAGAAGCCTCGCAGACACAGACACGCGCACAACTCACACACAACACACACAAACATGCACAACACACACACACACACAACACGCACATGTCAGACACAACACACAACACACATACAACACACACACAACACACAACGCACACACACACAACGCACACACACACACAATACCCACAACGCCCACAACACACACACACACAGCACACACACACACAACACAAGCAGCACAAACACAACACACACACACACGCAGCACAAACACAAAACATGCACACAACACACACACACACACACGCAACACACACACACACGCGCGCGCGCACACACGCGCGCGCGCGCGCACGCGCACCTCGCGCGCGCATGCGCACGCCCGCCCGCACGCCGCCGCCCCGCCCGCCCGCCCGCCGCCCGCCCGCCCGCCCGCCCGCCTGCCCGCACGCACGCACGCACGCACGCACGCACGCACGCACGCCCCACCCACAGACACACACACACACACACGCACGCACACACAGAGACACACACACACACACCCACACGCACACGCTCACGCACACGCACGCAGACACACACACACACACACCCACCCACCCACCCACCCACGCACGCACGCACGCACGCACGCACAAGCGCACGCACGCACGCACGCACGCACGCACGCACGCACGCACGCACGCACGCACGCACGCACGCACGCACGCACGCACGCACGCACGCACGCACGCACGCACGCACGCACACGCACACGCACACGCATACGCATACGCATACGCATACACATACGCATACACATACACATGTACAAACACACAGACACGCGTGCGCTCACACTCGCACACACACGCACACACGCGCGCAGGCACATGCATTCGCGCACGCGCACGCACAAACACACAAACGCGTGCGCGCGCATCAGCGCAGATAACACCACAACGTGTGCACCAGATAGCGCATGCACCACGCACAGTCACACCACCCCACGCGGGCGCACGCTGGCTTGGACGCATGCGTCCACAGAAAGCAACTTATCATTTTAACGCGCGTAACGATACGCAGCCGCCGCCTTGGGAGGGCGCTGGCCCACTGGTCGTCTGTCTTTCAAGCGTGGAATGTGGCGATTCTGTCTGCACTTGCCACCGTTGCTTCTCCCCCTTCTGGTCCCGCTGCTGCCCGCATTCTCGCACTACTCGCGCTAATAGGGCAAAAGGCTCTCAAGCTTTCTGGTGTTACGGACAGTCACACGCAGGGCCATCTCTGCAAGGCTGAATGCGCGCTGGATGTTTCTTTGAATGGTCGCAAAAGAGTATCGCACCGCAATATTTTACACGTGCTGTTTCAAAATCTGCCGTCGAGTGGCCACGTAGGTGCCAAAGTTCAAAAAAAGGAGAAAATCAATACTGAGTCCCTGCAAAACCGCCTTTGGTGGCCACTCTTTGAATATGGCGCTCAACCATTTTGGGCCTCCGCAAAAGCTGGAGGTCCAGCTGTGCCCCGTCTCTCTGGGTTTGGTTGGCTGTCTCGGCTGCTGCGGCATTTCAGCTCTCTCGCTGTCGCCGTTCTGCTCTTGCAGATCCTCCACAGCTTTTTGCCATTGCTGCTGTTCTGCTGCTGCTCCTGCTGCTGCTGTTCTGCTGCTGCTGCTGCTGCCCTGCTTCTGCTGCAGCTGCCGCAGCGGTTCTACTTGTCTACGGTTACCATTTTGCTTCTGCTGTCCTGGTGTTGCTGCTCCTTCTGCTTTTCTGCTGTCGCTGCCGCTGCTGTTGCCGTTGCTGCTGTTGGTCTGCAGCTGCTGCTTCTGTGCTGTAGTTGCTGGTTTGCAAATGTTTTCTACTGCTCCTGCTTCTGCTCTTCGTCTTCCGTCTTCTTCTCGCGCTGCTTTTCTCACGTTTGTGCTGCTCCCGGCACGGGCGTGTCTGTGCGTCCCAAATGGCCACGTGAATGTGTGCTGTTTTTGGCAGCATTGGGGTGCTTGGCAGTTGCGCGTCGGCAGCGTCGCATGCCGTCGGGCGCGGCTAAAATGCTTTGCAATATCAGTAAAAATGCATTCGCGCAGGTTCGCCTAGCCTGCCTGACATTCGAACAGTGGTTCGGAAATGTGTGGGTTTGCCTAGCGCCGGGTGGGTTCGCAAGCTTCGGCTGGCCTTTCTTGTAAGTTGTAGATTTGCCTCCACAAACGGTCGCGCGCCTTGGTTCGTTTCGCCAACGTTCGCAAAGCCTTTTTGGGTCCACGCAAGTTCGCTTAAAACATTCTGTGTACCCACAGTCTACCGACCACACACCCTTTTTGCCGTCAGCTTTTCAATACAAAGCCAAATGGGATGCGCTCTTTCTATTTCGCTTAGGTTTCTGTTGGCATAGCGGCTTAAACTACACGGGGTAGTTAGCTGAGTCCTCACGACGCCGGACCAACGCCAAATCGATTCCAGAACCCTCGCAAATTGCTCACAGGATTCCACCCTCTTCTCTCCTACACCCTTACCTCCCCTTTCTTTCCCCTTGGGGGTCACTATGCGTGTAAATGATAGGGGTTTCCCGACCTCCACCCACAAGGTTCCTTCCCTGCAGTTTCCTGATTCCATGTTCGGGGCGTTCCTTGAGGTTCCAAGCTCCCTCCAAGGGTTGAACTCCTCACAAGGAGGTTGCCCTCTGAGCTAAAGGGGGGTTTTAATTTGGAGCCTTCGGTGCCAGAACAAGGGGACGTACCCTTGACTGAGGTTTGTGCATCTGCCATGGTAGGAGAATGTTCAACCGATCTCACTCGGGTATTTGTGAAACTAAGTTGTATGAGTTCTGAGTAATTTGCCTGAGCTGCGCGAATTTAACCCAGTTAAGTTTGACCGCCTCACCAGCGCTGCCTCGCTGCGAGAGCTTCAGGCATGGTGGAGCCCTTCATCGAGAGCCAGGGCGATCTGCGGATTCAGCAGCTGGGGCCATGTTTGGCGCATGGGTGGCGAGATGTGTTGAAATATAAACCTGGGTGGGCGGCCCCTTGAGCAAGAGTGCGTTCAGGGCCTAAGTACCTGCAGTTTGACTGGTGCTCCAATACTTTATCAACAGCGTTTGAAACACCAAGTCAATTCTCTAAGACTGTACTGTTGTTGGTTGCATTCGTTCGACCGTTTACAGTGTTGCTCCTGTTTGTGGAAAGCGGGAACCAACCAAACCATATGTTGTTGCCGACCGCCGCGAACCAGTGGCGGTAGGGTAAACACGCTTAATAATCATCAAACCATTCAACAGTTAATGGTTTAAACTAAACGCGTTCAACAGGAATTGCCACATAGTTCAACAAGTCCGCACCGCTGCGGTATGGCCTGAGGCGGCACCCTGGTTAGGCGGGTAGTTCAAACATGTTTGAACGGTGTCTAAGGGTGGCATCGTTTATGCGGACCACTCAAATAATAGGTTCAAAGTCAGGTTCAAGGCCCTGAGGGCGTGAGGAGCAACTGTTTCTGCTCGTGTTGGCACAGGCATGTGTCGCCAAGAGGCTCAGGGAGCGTTTAAACAAACGCCGGTGGCACAATTTCCTGACTTGTGCCAAGATTTCGCTTGAGCAAGCCTCCAAGATGTTCACCTGGTGTTCTGCTCAGTGTGTGTGTGTGTGTGTGTGTCAAGGGAACGTTTAAACGAATGCCATTTGACAATAAGTACACATCAAGATGTTTAAGCCCTTTAAACACGAGCCAGCAAGTTGTTCAACCAGCGGCATTCCTGACTTGCTGCAGTATGGGTGATTGCGGCAGTGAAGGTAATTCGGGTCTACTATGGCATGCTTGAATTGGAGGGGGTGAGTGTGCGACTACTTGTGTGCACAAAGTGTTCTTCCACGACGCACTTGATAAATAAATCATGGCGATCTCAGATGGTTTGCATTCGCGACCTTAGCCATGATGAAGGATAGCTTTGTGTTGGCGTAGCTTTGTGTTGTCTTGCTGAAATAGTGGAATTGATTTGGACCTATGTGCCTAAGGCAGATGGTCACGGTCGGCTAAGGAAGATCGGCACTCATTACCGCGCCTTCAAGCGGATAGGCGGGCTGCTGATTTCATGACCGAACAAACGTCTGCGATCCCCCTCACTCTCATGAAGCTGTTGGAGCGGGGATTTTGTTTGTGCCTAACCTTTGCCAACATCGTTGGTGGAGGGCACTACGACGCCAGTGTTGGTCAACTCATGTGGCCATTACGAAACAACTGGAAACGCAACTCTTGAACATGGAGTTGTTGGAGGCTAGGTGTTGATCCCTGGTTGGTTGACTTGTTTCTCCCTTGAAAAACCATAGGCGTGTGTACCATTGTGTACCCTTTGCTGCAACCCTGATGAACCAGCACCAAACACCTTGAAGGCAGGGTGATCTTCCCAGAAAACCATGGTTGGGCTGTTGCCACCGGTTCAAACACTAATTGTTCAAAATCGTTTAATCATCGTTCTTGGAGGGAGCTAAAACGTACAACCTGACAGCCAGGGTTCAAGCAGTTTCCTTTCTTCTTCGAAGGGGCAAATGCCGATTGCCAATTCTGGTTTGTCTATACTTACCTGGGGCAAAGCGAATTCACCAAGATGAGTAAGGAGCTTTACTTGAGGATACCCTATTTGAGGTTTTGGACTTTTTGTAGACTTTGCAAGAACTCTTCCACCACCCTCCCCGGATGGCGGTTGCGGAAGGCCTCTCCGGAGACTGGAAAACCAACACCTGCACCTCCGTCATGGACGAGATCGAGTGCACCCAGCGTGGCTGCGACTGAAGCCACGGGAGAGCGGGACCTCAATGACAACCATGACACGCTCATGGCCATTTCCCTACAATGGTGCAGTGGGAAATAGTCTAGAGCCTCTATGACCCTTGAAAACTGGGGGAGGGGGGGTATTGCAATTGTCTCCCTTTGGTAACTTGTCACTTCAGATAGTCACCTCTCTGTCGCGGGCATTTGGGATTTGCCAATTACTTGCAGCAGCAGAGCTGCAATTGAAATTGACCCCGTTTGCAAGTTGCAGGTGGTTGAAATACTGCAATTTAATCTACATGTTGCTGTTTGTGATAGGGACTGTCTCCAAAAAATAGGATGTGCTTCCATTTGTTGTGATCATCCAAGGTCGGAAGCTATCGCATTTGCATCTCAGAGCCACCTGATTTATGCCAAAACTTTAGGATAAACGACCTTAGGACCTGGAATGCTGTTGCAGCTTCATCTTGCCCGTTTTGCCTGGGTTTGGCCCACTCGCCTCTGGGTTTCCCCCAGACCCCAGTTGAGGCTACCGGCGCTGGGCCGATGCTGCCGCAGAGATGTTCGGGGGTTTGGCAGCTCGGCGCGCGGAAGAAGTCTTTGCACTTCACATAGGTCCACAGATTTCTGCGAAACTGTTTGAGAGTCAGGATTGGGTGGGGGAGACTTCCACAAAGGGGACTTCAGCTGCACCCTTTGTTTAGCCCTTGCCAACAAATGGACATCATTGGAAGGGAGCGACTTCGACACCAGATTTGGTTCACTCATGCAGCCATGCGCAACAATCAACATGGATCCCTTTTTTGTTGGCTCGTTTTGCCGTTGGGAAGTCATAGGCTGTGCACCGTTTGCTGCTTGCCCGATCAACCAACACATACCAACACCAAGCATTCTGCCTTCATGATTTTCCCGGAACTGCCACCGGTTCAAACATGTGCGACTAATGATTTTTCAAACTTGTTCAATCTTCCTTCTTAAAGGGGGCTAAAATGACATCTATTGACAACCTTACAGCTACGGCTCAAGCAATCTTCCATTTTCCGTTAACGGGCAGATGCCGATAGCCAACACTATCTGCTTATACTCGCCTGACGCAAAGTGAACTCACGAAGATGAGCAATGTGTTTTACTTGGGGATCTGCTGTGTCCGCTTTTACACACTAAAGAACTTCACTGGCGGCTTGGGCGTCTGGGATCCATTGAAGGACTTGCTTTCCTGCCCCATTTTCTTCTGAAGAGTCTCTAAGCGCTTCAAATCCAAAAGGGTCCCACCCATTTGGGCCCACAGCCCCCAATGCAAATTTGCGCGTCACCTCCAGAGAATGGCGAATTATGCCTCTGAGCCCAGGACATTTTGACGGTGGATGCCATCATTGAAGCAGACACTGGCAAGGCCTTCCGGTTTCGACTTTTGGCTTTCACTCGATTCCAACCCCCCCCCCCCCTTCCCGCTTCCAAGCCCCTCCAAATACGGCCTGAATAAGGTGAGCCTTCGAACATCCTGTCAGGCATTCTTGAGGGGTGCCATTATGTTTCAGGATCTTTTATCCGCGAGCTGGCAAGCCAGCCAGCCAGCCAGCAAGCAAGCAAAAAAGTGCTCTTAAACCCCCCCCCCATATACACTAAACACAACACCACCTACCCTACACCTACCTCGAAACCACCTTAGACCTACCCTAAACCCACCACCTGCCCCACCTTGACCCACCCTGAACTCACCCTAAACGCACCCCAAGCCGACGCAATCCGTTGCCACCCTAAACACACTTTAAACCCACCTTGAACGTACCTTGAACTCTAAACCCAAAGAACTAGAACCCACCCCAAACCACACTGAACCAGCCCTCGACCAACCCTAAACCAATCGAAACCAAGCCTGAACCCACTCTGAACCCACCCTAAACCCCAACTCACCCTAAGCCCACCCAAATCAACCCCAAACGCCACCCCAAACTGCAGCAGGCCCTAAACCACCGCACCCTTAAACACCACACTGAATCCACCCTAAACCAACCCAAAAGACAGCCTTAACCCTAAACCCACCCCAAACCCTGCACCTCAAACCCATGAACCCACCCTAAACCCACCCCAAACCCACCCCAAGCCCACCCCAAACCGAGTCTATGCTTCTTGAGAACCATGACATGAGTGAGGCTTCAGGTTGACACGGAACCCAATAGCGCCTAGGGCCTCGCGGAGTTCCTTTTGCAGCCCCTTTCAAGGAATTCTCAGGGCGGGCCCCTTGCCAACTATGAGACTGCCCAGTGTGAATATAATTATAAGAAGATGCGTCTAAATTGTGAGTACATATGTGCATGATCCAGCCAACTACCCCACTCGGTCCTGTATATATATATATATATGTGTTTATTCATTTACTTAGTGGTTTATCTATTTGTTTCTGCATATTGGTTCGCGCACCAGCCACTAACAGTCGCCCCTGTTCGACCGCCTCAAGTGTACTCACACTGAAAGGTGGGCCCAGGAGATCCTAGGAGGGGAGGCGGAGACCATATGTAGATCATTGTATACTGCATTTATTTATATATATACATATATATTAAACATGTGCATGCCAGTGATCCGGCGAGAGCGTTTGGTTCGGCCCTTGCTCGGGTCAGGAGCTGATATTGGAGGTGAATGGCACCTCCTCCGGCCTGCATCCGGACAAAGCCCAGGCGGAAATTCTCCAAGACTAAAAATAGAATGGATTTCAACCCCTTTGGTTCAGCTCATCCAGCTTTGACTTTACACAATCATTTGCGTATTTGGCCAGAATCTGTTTGGTTGAATCCCATCCTTTCCGTTGGCTTGTGGGTATTCATTGGTTTCCCTTTGCTCAATGCCTTCAAATGGGCTGACCCCTCCAAAATTGAGCAAAAGGCCCGGGCTTTTGGCTGGTGGCTTACGAGGGAAGCGAAATGGACCCGCATTTTTCCCTGCGTTGTGAGCCATGAGGCAGTCAAACACTGGATGTCGCGAAAATATGAGTCAAAGGGAAGCCGAAAGCCTTGTTAAAACCAAATTCAATTGAACATGTTGAAACTTCGAGGAAAGCATCCACCCCTCACGGGGTCCTCGTCATGGCTTGGCGCGAGCTTCGTGCGAGGAAGACAATGGTTTCATCAAAGACCTGCTGCTCGAGAAGATGAATGCCGCTCTATGCCGAACTGGGTGAACAAAATTAGTTTGAACAAGCAAACCCTGGTCCCAATTGGCGATTGCCCGAGATGGATGCGGTTTATTCGATGATCCGCGCTGTTGGGCGATTTCAGGGGGTCCCCTGAGCCGTCGCTTGCCGTTTGCAGATCCCGGATACCCGGGAACGCGGCAGCGAAGTGCCACGCTCGGACCCGGCGTGCGGGTTGTACAGCGTCCCGCAGCGTCCAGCATAGCTCGGAGTCAAAAGGCGGCTGGGGTGCTGGGGTCGTTTGCATGCGGGGTGGAGGCATCACTGACCAGCTGGTACGAGAAGTTCATTGAAAGACCCGGTAAGCTGCCTTTGTCCAAGAGGCGGCACGAGCCTCAATGATTTTGTTGCTCTTGCGAGTGCCAATCTGTATACAGGGTATACGATGGCATCTATTTGGGGTGGGTACGGGCACTGAATTATGTCCCTCAAAGCTGCTGCTTATGTATGCTGCCAGTCTGCAAGTTTGCCGTCGGCCAACGTCGCTCGATGCTGTCAGCGACGGTAATATTGAGTTGGCTTATGTGAGGCTAGCTCTTGCCGGCCTACGAGGGTTGTTCATTTTTGTCAACAACCCTCCTGGCGCAATGAGCAAGCTCATCGGAATGCCAATCGAATCCTGACTTGTTCAAAGCCAATGGCTCTTTTGACCTTTGGTTTCGCAGTGTTTGCTCAATTCGTGATGGCAGCCAAACAGTGGGCCCGTGTTTTGTTTTTCCCCCACCCTTTTCCGCGCCGGCCTTTCTGCAAGTCACACTCTCTTTGCGAGTTACTGTAGCTGCATCCCACGTGGAACCGACTTGGGGCGTTCCAACTTGGACCAGTTTGCTTTTGAGGGGCCTCTAGGTTTCCTAAACACTTCCTATGCCATTGTTTTGTTCTAGTGATTCCAGGCAACACACTTGCTGTATGTGGGTGATCTTGTGTTTGAATGAGCAATGCCATTTGTTGATACTGTTTTCTCCATGAGCGTGCGAAGGATGAACTGCTTGCAACATTGCAATCTATACCAAAAGTCCACCTTTGCAATCATGGAAATGCATCGGAGGGTCGTCATTTTGAAAAGGTCTCCAGTCCACTTCCATGATTCCCGTGGTTCGATGCCACGGGAGTTGGCCAAAGTGGCTTGCCACCGCTCGGTGTGTCCTTTGTTGAAGGAGCACTTGGGCTCCTGTCTCCAACGTGCCCTTTGCCTTTTCGATATTGATTCGGAGGAGCGGATATGCCACTTGCTGGGCACCTCGAAATCCTATACCTGAAAAGCCATGAAGATTCACTCTTTGCCAGATTTGGATCTGCATGAAAAGTGCCACGCTGCTTGTTTGGTGCAGACCGTCCTAAGGTTGTGACGTGGAATGATTTGGCGCACGACTTGCAGGACATGATGGCTCCGCAGGCGAGCCACTGGCTGGGTCTCTTAAGGCGAATATTTGTTTAGGACTTTTGTTGATTTAACTTTTGGGATCCATTGTCATTTTAATCCCAGCTGTTCACTTCGGAAAAAAATGAAGATGTCGCTTGGGACCCTGACCTTCGCTGATCTGATGTTGTTGAGCGGTTGATGTATTTCCCAGCTTAAGAAGCAGGATCGGGATAAACTTACACATGAGTAACAATCAGCTAGCACATGGAGCCCCAATCGTGGCCCACCTGTTTCCTCGGAATTATGCAGATGTGTGCTAAAGTAGCTGTACCTATTGGTTGCGTACACAGACTGTGACTCACCCTACATTGGACTGTACTTTATGTCGTAAGGGTGTTATCATGGGAAACATTGACGGAGTTGGACCTGAGTTTGGGCTAGCTTTTCACAGACACTTCAACCCTTTTCCAAAGAGTTTTTCAAGTGGAAACCAACCTGTCAGTTACATATGTCTCCTCCCCCATGTGAGGTGTTTTCAAAATACTAGAGTATATCGCATGCTTGAACAGATGTTAAGAGGCACAGCGAGGGCTCACTATGCAAGCTTCAACCACACCAAAAGCTAGGGGGACGAAACCCAGGTTGGTTGTGTCCATCATGGGAACTTTGGCATAATCTGTCTCAAACTAGACAAACCCAACGAGTGGTTTTCCTTTGGTCTCCCTTACCAGCGGCCCAGCCCCTTTTCACGGGTACCTCAAACAAGACACATCCAGACCTTTTTGGACGTGGCTGTCAGTGTCCCCCCATCCGATTCCGCAGGCAACATCGGCCCTGAGGGAAGCTTCGCTGCCCGGGGCTTGGTGGCGCGGCAATGTAACCCAGCTACTTTTAAGACCTGCCTTTAAGATCAGCTCCGGCTTAAGCTGTGCTTATATGGAGAGGTTTATGCGGAAGGTTTCCCCCTCCCAGTGATTCCATTTGTCTGAAGTAAGTACTTGCCACCAAGCGAACCCTGCTTAAAACTACGAGGACAATTCCTGGGTCTTTGCGAAAGTGGCTTGCCTGGAGTTTACTGGGTAAATCGGGAAACCCCAGAAATGTTGGTGTCCCTCAGGTTTCCCTTGACGACTAATCAAAGGGGTGCCCTCAACAAAAGAACATCTATAGCCATATCCTCAGGGCGGCAGTGATTTACAGAATTGGATTGGAGAATCTTTGGGAGGTGCATGTGTGTGTGGAGGCCACCCATTTCAAGCCAAGAGTGTTTGGTGGAGAGGGTGCCCTATTTTGATTGAACCACCCCATGCGGTTTTTGTCGAAGCCTGAATGGGAAGAATCGTATCCCATTCTGTTTTCAGGTCAGACGCCGCCTAGCTGTTTTAGTGACTTTCCTATAGCTCTGAGTTTTGGCTGAATTCGGGGCCTTGTGAAAAGGGCTAAGGTTGCTCCGTTTCGCCTTCCGGGGAGCCAACACCTGCGTCCCAGCCACATTAAGTTAGGCAGCATTAAGAGGAGAACCCTGGAAGTGGCTTCGGCCAGCAAGGGAGATGGACCCACTTTCAGCCCAGACCTCCATGGGTGCCGCTGGTGGGCGTGTGTGTGTGTGACATTGTGTGACAGTGCTTCTGTGTGTGAGAGAGTGGGTGTGTGTGTGTGTGTGTTTGTTTGTTTTATTTGTTTGTTTGCTTGCTTGTTTGTTTGTTTGATTGTTGTATTTGTGTTATTTGTTTGTTTGTTTGTTTGTTTGGTTGGTTGGTTGGTTGGTTGGTTAGTTGCTTGTGTGTTTGTTTGTTTGTTTGATTGTTGTATTTGTGTTATTTGTTTGTGTTGTTTGTTTGTTTGTTTGTTTGTTTGTTTGTTTGTTTGTTTGTTTGTTTGTTTGTTTGTTTGTTTGTTTGTTTGATTGTTGTATTTGTGTTATTTAAGTTATTTGTTTGTTTGTTTGTTTGTTTGTTTGTTTGTTTGGTTGGTTGGTTGGTTGATTGTTTGTTTGTTTGATTGATTAATTGATTGTTTGTCTCTTTTATTTGTTTGTCTGTGTGTTTGTTTGTGTGTTTGTTTGTTTGTTGGTTTGTTTGTTTGTTTGTTTTTGTTTGTGTTTGTTTGTTTGTGTTTGTTTGTTTGTTTGTCTGTGTGTTTGTCTGTGTGTTAGTTTCTGTGTTAGTTAGTTAGTTAGTTTGTTTGTTTGTTTGTGATTGTTTGTTTGTTTGTTTGTTTGTTTGTTTGTTTGTTTGTTTGTTTGTTTGTTTGTTTATTTGTTTGTTTGTTTTTTGTCTCTTTTATTTGTTTGTCTGTGTGTTTGTGTGTTTGTTGGTTTGTTTGTATTTGTGTTGTTTGTGTTGTTTGTTTGTTTGTTTGTTTGTTTGTTTGTTTGTTTGTTTGTTTGTTTGTTTGTTTGTTTGTTTGTTTGTTTGTTTGTTTGTTTGTGTTTGTTTGTTTGTTTGTTTTTGTTTGTTTGTTTGTTTGTTTGTTTGTTTGTGTGTTGATTCTTGCTTATTGTCCGCGTGTGTGTGAGTGTATGTTTAATGTGTTTAATGTTTTTTTTTTTTGTGTGTGTGTGAGTGTGTGCGTGTGTTTGTTTGGGGTGCGTGTGTGTGTGGGTTGGGCCTCTCGCTTGAACCTGAGATGCAGAATGGAGTTGGACTTACCAGTGACACGGAGTGCGGCTTTTGGCTGAACGGAGGGATGCCCCGAGGCTTTCTGGCGCTTTGTCGGGCGTCCCTTTATTCCCTCCGAAAGGGGAATGGTCAAAAGGCAACCCATTTGTTTTGGTTTCTTTGCGGTGTGACTGACCTTGCTAATCTTCTAACCTTGTGGACAAATTGTGTTTGCAACCAACAAGAAGACATTTAAGGGACATGGGGTGCCCACTCCAAACTTGCCACAAATTCCGAGGGGCCGGCGCAAGTTCCTGCGTCCTCTTGGGGAAAACGTTTGTTTGTGGCTGTTTGTGGCTCATATGGCTGCTGGGGCCACGGACATGGACCCGAGGCAGTCACCGAGCCTTCGGGTAGTGCGGGGGAGCTGAGAACGTCCGCTGGGCTGACCTGCACAACCGAAATGGCAGCAGCAGGGAAGCTCCAAACAACATCAAACAGCTTGCAAATGAAGCAATCTCGTGGTTCTCGCGCCTGCATCTTGCCCCTGCCTTTTTTTTGCAGGACAAGATTTCCTGGGCGAACATGTGGTTCCCTTCTTGGGGCTTTCCTTCTTTCAGCTTGGTGAATAAGCTTGCCCCAATGCGTTTCCTTCCTTTTGGCAACTCTCATCACCCATGGCGGAAACCCAGAACATTCACCCTGGCTCTTTTGGGAAGGGATCCACATCCACAAAGGAGCCCTTGATTTGTGCATGCCCCATCGCTGGTTGAAGGAGCATACCGTATTCCAGGGGCGCCGCTCACAACTTCCGGTTTGGTTTTGGTCAACAGCCACGATTTCTACTCTTGACGCATGGCCGCATTGAGCTGGTGAAGACGGAGGTATCATGTGAGTCACTTTGTCGGGCTCCTTTCGGTGCTTGCGACCTGGAATGCCGAATGCCACAGTCCCTTGGCGATGCCATGGAATTTTGAATAACTCGTTGGCCAAGTGAATCACAAGTGCCACCGTGCAAAAGCCATTCGTACACCTCCAGGTTGAGCATGGGTGGCAATGGCATCAGTTTGACCCGTTTACAACCTAGAAACACCATGCGAAGCTGCTTTCTACAGGTACCTACATGCGTATAATATATATATATATGTATATATATATATGTATATATGCCTTGCTGTAGCCTTGCTGTACTTTCACGTACCCTTTTCAATGGGCACATGACAAGGGGCGCATGCACGAACCTGGATGTTTGCAAGGAATTGTGAACCAATGGAAAATAGAACAGCTGTAAGCTGGAAATGCTCAATCCCCTGACACGCTCGCCAAGTCTTTCTGGGTCATTGTGCGCGTCTCAGGCAGCACACGCTGTTCTGAAGCGTGTTGGAGCCATTTCTTTATCATGGTGGGAACCAAGGAGAGTCCTAAAACAAAACTGGACCATATGGGGCCTGAAAGCGTTGGGGCTATTTGCGAGAGCTTGGACCAGATCTGCAGAAGAGATCTGTTACAACTCCGCCTAGAACGGGATGATGGGGATAGTGCCAAACTAAACCTTGCACGTTTGGCGGCCAATCCATGAGAAACCCCTTGAAGCCCAGCGGACCGGCTCTTGCAGTTTGAGGCCGCAAATCTACACGGCCTTTGTGGTCTCATCCCTGGTGACGGGCTTGGCTTCGCGGATGAGGGACACGACTTCGTGGAAAGCAAGGGGCATTCGTACAAGAGTGAGGATAGGTGAAGCAAAACCCCTCGTTTGGTCACGGCTTTTGCTGCTCCAACTTGTTTGGACGCATAACCAAGCACAACTTCCGCACTCGTTCGAACAGCCTTCAGATTGGAGAGGAGTCGAGGCTAAGGCACGCCTCCCTGAGTGTCATGACAGTCAAATGCAGACCCTCCCCTTTTGGAAGGAAGCCGAAAAAAACAAGGACGGTTTGTAGAAGGCAGGACATGCACGGCCTGTTTGAGTAAAATTTGAGGAAGGCTCTTCAGATCGGAGAACCAGGGACGGAAGCAGATTGAGTACTTTCAGGCCCGGCGATCGGACCGAACTTTGGCGATTGGCGATGCGAGCTCGTTGCTTGCAACCGCATGACCCAAACACGATTAAGATAAACACGATCAAGATAAACACGATCAATGTAAACCCGAGGGCAATGAGGCTGCTCAAAGAGGTGGGAAGCGCAAGCCCTGAGCAAGGGGAAGATGATCATACCCCTGAGAATTATCCTGGTAGTGATGTTGGAATCATTGGTGAGTACAAGAACGCCTCTAGAAGCGAGAGGAGAGAAGTACAAGGCCTGGTCGGCGCTGCTAGTTAGCTGTTAGCCCGTGGCCGTGGCCCGTCTTTTCTCTTGCGAGGGTCTGGCTGCACTTGGTCCCTTGAAGTGAGCTTTCATCTGGAATTTGAATATGGTGTATTTGACAAGCAGGCGAAAGCTCCCCATTTGTTGAACTCATTCAGCATAAGGAAACTGTGGCATGTTGGAGTGACCCCCCGATTTGGCTTTTGAAAGAGAAGCTAAGAGGGAACAAGCAGTTTTCGCTGTCATTTTTTTGGAAACACGCGTGTCAATTGATTGAGTGCCACGGATGCGGCTGTGTCTTATATTTGAAGGTAACGTGTTTGTTGATGTTGCCAAAAAAGGACATGAAATGGTCCACCATTTTGACGAACAACATGCTGCAAGGAGCAAGTTTAGCTAGTCCAGTGCTCTCGCTCTGGTTGTTTCACTGGAGATGGGCAGTTGCGTGCATCGCGTTGGCCATTTGTAGCGATTGTCCGGAACTCACTGGGTGTCAAAACACACAGATTTAGTTTTAAACACACGCAATTCAGGATGTTTCTGGGTTTGCGATATGTTTTTTCCCGAGCCCCTCTAAACGGCCAGCTTGTTTGTTGTCATTGCACGGTTCTATTTTGAAGGATTTGATCTGGACGACGGTCTGCCGTGGCCGTCCTAGGATAGATGTGAGCTGCCGCCTGCAATATGTGTTGCCGGCAAAGTTTGTTGTCGACTTGCTGACGTGACACATGCGCAACGCCAGGAAGTCGATTTCTCAAAGTATATACGTGTATTTGGGGTGGACAGAGGGGCCACGCAAAACTGTAGGGCAGAACCTCAGAAATGGGCTTTGGTTTCACATTTCCCTGTTGCTTCCCTTCAAAACCTCAAGACGGTTCCACCAAAGTAGACGAAGCCATATTAGCAGTTTGCGTAGCCCAGACTTGGGACGTAAGGGAGATATTTGTCCATGCTTGTTCATGCTGGGGAACTTTATGGAGACCATCCATATCGGGTCACACTTGTAGTTACACCTATATGCGGCCAAATCTGGGCCCAGCGGCAGGGGTGGGGCATCTCTTCACACAGGTGCGCTTGTTGTGGTTCTACCCAAAAACAACTTGAACAGAATCCCCCTTTGAGGAAGCCGACGGCCGCTAGGTTTACCCCCTTGCAAATAAGTGATGAAACCCAGAAAACATCATTTGTGGCGAAATCCGCCTTAGGTGGCCCCGCTTTTGGGATTCCCATGTCCATGTATGTCATACCTTGGGCGCACGTCCAGCTTTTTTCAATTCAATCGAGTTTGTGACTTCTCGGGTGTGGCACCGTAGCCTTCTGCAAACGCACAGCGCTCGCAACCTTTGATGAGTATATTTGCAAGCGTATGGGGGGCGCCTTGTGCTTTGTTTTCATGCGGGTTTAGAGGGAAATTCAAAGGAAGTCACCCATGGTTTCATGGTCGCCCTGATTTTGAGACACACCCAAATAATGAGCTTCCTTGGCGGTACTGGTACAAGGAGGTTGGCCCCTTGATTGATTTCCCCTGCTTTGGAATTATTTTTGTCGAAGGTGTGAATCATATGCCTATGTGCACATGTTTGTTGCCTGGCCTGCAGAGCTTGATGGCGCTTCTTGCACATCCAGACAATGCAGTGCCGGCGTTTCTCGAATTTCATGGCTCAAAGGCATGTAGACATGAAAGAGCATTCCAACTGAGACAGGCGGTGCTTGCACAGAAGCAGCCTCGCAAAAAGGACGTAGTCGTGCTCAGACAGCTACGTTTCAGCCGAGCTTGCTCGTGCCAACTGGACAACATGCGCACCATGTTTGTTCCATCATGTTTGGCCACACTGTCTTAATCAGTGACCCCTTTATACCTTCAAGTGCTTATAGGCCCACAACCATACCTGTTTTCGCCTGCAGATACCTGGGCAAATTACGGCAGCCGTACAATGTATGTGTGCGCTGCGACTGCACATACTGTGAATATTTCTTGCACTAGTTCTCAGCAGGTATTTTGCAATGTACCTAGAAACACACTAGAACAAAAACAGGCCCAGTGGATCGCAGGTGTTTCGCATCTTTAGGCAACTCTTCGCAATGTTCCTTTCGTCTCAGGGTTGTTTGAGCTTGGCAGGCTACAACCTAATGGCCGAAATACTTAGAATGGAGGTTTGGGGCACTAGTAAGCTAAGTGGCCTCAAGATCACCTTTGAAGCACGTGTTTGCTATTGAGCCTCTTATTTAGTATGCATTAAATCCTTCTAGGCACACGCGCACGAGCCGCGCGCAGCCGAACTCCGCACCATGGGCTTCAGCGCCTGGGCCAAGGAGCAGGTCCGCGCGTCGCTGCCGCAATGCGCCTCGGCGAAGCGCCGAAGCGCCGATCGGCGCCCCGATTCGGGCGGTGCGTTTTTCCACATTTCGCGGGGGAAACGCTGAGTTTCGTCCAGGGGATACCTTCCATTGAATTGGGACTTAGGACTCGATGTTTCAGGCACAAGACCCGGAGACTTGTTGGGGGGGTTCCCCGTCCAGTTGGGATCCTGCATACTTACTCATGCGTCAGAATCTGTTGTTGGTTGGCGCTTTGACTGGAATGCTTGCGGGATAGGCTTTCTGGTGGACAACACCGAGCTTGGCTCCAGCAGCAGCGGCCTCCGCTTTCGGAACTCTCCGTCCCATGAGGCCACCGCCAGGGTTGGTAGAGAGATGGGCGGGGCTTCGCCACAAAGCCAGACACAAATGTATGCACGTGTACAGTATATTACATGTATACGCACGCTAATTACAACACATGACATGACATCGCAATGCAATCCAATCATATCACGCGACAGACATACATGCACGGTATACAAAATCATGCGTTTGCACCTCCCTTTGCACCTTCCTTCCTCTCTCCCTCGCTCCCTGCCTGCCTGCCTGCCTGCCTGCCTTCCATCCTTCCGTCCTTGGATCCTTGGATCCTTCCGTCCTTCCATCCTTCCATCCTTCCTTCCTTCGTCCTGCGTTTTCAGTCATTCCTCTTAATGTCATTAATTTGCATCATTGCATGCATTCCATGTCATGTCGATTTCATTCCATTCCATTCCATCCATGCTAGTTCATGCCATGTTATGTTCATGTTCATGTTCATGCATGCTGGGATTGGGAGATGCGAATGTCCTACTTACAGTACATACCCCGCACTCAGGTATTTTTGCTGAAAGAAGTAAAAAGGAACGTCCACAGCATTGTCCAACTGTCCTGCAATCGCTCGCTTCCGTGTATAACATACGACAACACGGAACAACATGGGAAAGCATGGCAAGCGCACAAACGCTGTTGGGAGTGGGCGGTCTCAGCGAAAAGATCATTGCAGACTTTTCGGGCTTCAACCATCCAAGAAGCAAAATTGTGTTTGCTTGTCTCTCCTTGCGCAGCCAGTCAATGGCAAACCCTCGTGGACTTTCGTGGGGAAAACCAACACATGCAAGCAAAAGCACTTTTCCGTCCCACTAAAGCTTGGTATGTGTTTGAAATTCCGCCTGTTGGCTTTGCCGGCAAGTATGTTACACGGCTTGCACAGGGTTATCAAGGGTACATACCCCAATGAAACAGAAGAGCCACATCCACAATATGATGGCTTATAGGTTGAACCTGTATGTCCGACGAGATCCACATTTCCAAACCTCACAACGTCCAAACTACAAGGGAAGAACCAATTTAATGTATTGTGTCCGTTTTGTTTGCCTTTTCCAGGGACCTCACCTTGCTTCCGTTGTAATCGGCTAGCTCGAGGACCTGAACCTGCAGCGGAAGCCGGTGCCCTGGGAGTCCTTGGTCTGGGGCTCGCTGGAAGCCGACGGCGCGTGGGTGAAGGTCAAGGCGTCGGATTGGGGACGTCGGCTGCATGCCCACCGGTGGAGTTGGAGGAGGGTCGATTTACTCACTTGGTAGGGGAATACAATCACAACAAAAATACTGAAAAACAAAAGCGCCATTGACAAGACTACGATAAGACAGTGGCCTTTAGCAGGTGGAATATCCACGGTCTATGTACTCAACGAGTTGGCCTGTGCTGCGGCCTTTCAGGAGGGCCGGTATTTGCCGGTCTTCAACGCCAGCGGCGTCCGCGTGCTGCAGCAGATTGAAGTGAAAGGCGAACAGGAGACAGCGCATCGTGTGCGCTTGCTTCTTGACCACTTCCCTTTTGGGTGACATTGGGTGAAAAGACAGAGGCCCTTTTGGGGGGATCAAAGCTTAAAGATGTCGGTGTTTGTAGTTTGTTCACAGGTCCCTTTCAAGGCATAACTCGTTCTTCCGTTTTGCCGGTTGAAAGAGTGGTTTCTGTTTGCTTGCCAAAGGAGTTCTCTGCATTTACATCCCATGGGAGAGTCAACGGGCACCGCTGGCTGCATTTGGTTCATGCCCGTTTTGCTTGAGTACCTAGCTGCTTGAAGCAAACCGCCCGCAGAAAGATCTGGATCTAACCTGCCTTCGAGCACCCTCTAAACCAAGGGCCCAGTTCAGCCTTGCCAGCAAACCAGCGGGGTCGGTTGTGTTTGGTGTTGTTCGGTGTCTTTCCCTACATCAAGCTAACAAGGGGCTTCGTCCCTTTGTCTCCTTTGGCATTCCCTTGAAAGCTCACCAATGCAACAAGTGCAGGCAGTTTAGTTTTCACAGAATTGGCTGCAAGTAAGTAGGGCCAGCTGGCAAGGAACAATTATATGGCCTAGGGTACGCGCCCCAATTTCGTAATGTTATCCTCATGCCCGCGGCATATGCGTACCATTTTCCCTCGCCGTAGTTGTTTTGATAATTTGTTTGGGGCAACCTTTCTTTGACATAGCCTGGTCCTTTTTTTGTCCCCTATGATCTTAAAAGCATAGTGTTGCACAAGGACCATCGTTGGCGCAATGGCACAAGGATCAGGCACACTGCGCACATGTTTTGTTCGAGAGTCCAAGTCCCGTTGACTGCCTTAGACGCAGGAGGAGAAGGTGGAGGCGGACTCCATGCAGCTGGGCCAGATCCAAGCGCCTCTGCACATCTCCCCCGGTGCCGGCACCCAACCCGACGAGGAGGTTGGAGCTTGGTACCAGGCACGGTAGGGGCGAGGGAGCGTATGCCAGGGATTTGACGAAGAAGAAACCGGGTTCACCGCCTTCATAACAGTGGTCGCCTTGTTGGTTCAACATCAATGTGTGGGCAAATTTCACAGTGAGTTTGCTTTTGGCGCGGTGATGTTGCAACAGTGATGTTTGAATGTGGCTTCCAAATGCCTCCAGGCAGGTTCTAGGGCAACAGGCAACATGGATGGGCGAGCATGTTGTTTTGGAGTCATTATACGTTTTCAACTGAATGCAGCTCCAGGCGGGTGCTTACCCAAGCCCTTGGCTTGTGGTTGACATGCAGACCACGCGAAGTAGTTGGAAACCTTCGGCTGTTTCCGAACCTTTGTTCCACTTGGTTCCACTTGTTCTCTTTTGTTTGCGTGTCCCCGCCAGAGGCAGTTTGCTTTTGTGCCAGCAATCACCACTCCTTGGAAGTTGAGCGCGGAGTCCGGAGTTGGCGGGCATTCCAGTTGCTGAAGGCGTCTTTTGTCTAGTAGTTGAAAGAGGACACAGGCATGACGAATATGTTATATTGATGGCACCATGTAACCCCATGTAGACAATGTCGGCACCAACATTTATATAGACCAATGCCTGATTCGACATGGTTCATTACATAACACCAGAATCCTGAGTCGTGTTTCAGTTGCACCATAGTCCCCAAGCGTGCCTGGGTCATGTTGCACTTTGAGGCTCATTTGGCAATCTTTTGGTATCCGAAGTCTTACAACAGAGTCATCTACATCGAATGAATGGGTTTTTTGTTTGCTTCCCATTGATAGATTTAAATTTAGCTTTAGCTGTTTCTTCTTTTGGGGCGGGGGGGGGGGGGTAGGGGCGGATGGAGACACCCTCCCTCCAAAAACATGGCACCTGAGAAGGAAATAGTCCCTTCAAGAGGAAATTGATCTTCCCGGTAGGTGCGTATGGTTGGGACGAAGCTTGAATTCTTCGATTTTTGCAGACCCCCGGGTTTTGGACAAGCCTGGCATGTCTGACTCCCGACTCTGACGCCCGTTTTGGCGCGCCGGCCTCAGGTGGTGGCGGAGCGCGTGGCCTTGAGGCAGGGGCCTTCCCTGGGCGCCATGGTCTTGGGCCAGCTGCTGCGCGGCGCCTCGGAGGTTCAAAGTTGGGGTCTCCCTCGGTTCGTTGACCAACCAATCAACTACTGTGGATGGTTGCGAAATCCAATTCGCACCACTTTGAAGCCAGAGGAAACCATTGCGCGTTGGTATTTACAGGGGAATCATCATTTTAGGGTTTCTTGGGCGGTGCAGGATTTCGTCCATCCACAGCAGGTCCCCCAGCAGTGCCCTTCTCTCCCCTTTTTGATTGGGAGGGTTCCCCTACTAAAACAGACTACAGAAAAGAAAAGTTGGTACCCTTATTCTAACCTCTTACTGGAGGACCTAGTCAATGTTGGCCAGCCCTGTGGTGGGGCCTAGAAAGTTGGCTCTCTGGTACCAAGCCCACTCTCTCTTCCCTGCCCACTTTCCCCAGGTTCTGGGCTGCATAGTTGGGAAGAAGACCATTGAGGTAAGCAAACAATTTGGACTGCCAGTGAGACCGTCGGGTGGATTGGGACGTCAGGCCAACAGTTGGAGATGTTCGGCTGGGACGAGTCCCGGCTGTGGCGCCGCTGTGCGGACCATCGCGCTGAGCCCAGCGATCTTTCCTTTAGGCAAGTGTGAGGTTCGGTCCACGTTCGGTCCACACGGTTGTTCCGAGCCGATCCAAAAAGATGGACCTTTATACAAGGGTGGACAAATTGCTTTGGTTGCCTCTGGTTTCGCTTCGGGTCTAAAGGCCCTTGTGCCAGAGCCTTTTGCAGATGCTTGCCACAGCGCCCAGCACTCCCAGGGATGCTTTGGTGCGCCTAGGCCTGTCGCGGACTGGCTGGGTCTTGCTGGACCACCCGGATCTGGGCCCGCTAGCAGGGACCTCAGGCGAAACGCGTTTGTTTGTTTTCTTCCGGAAGAGGGCCAGGCGTAAAGTTGTATTTTGTTTCCAGAAGCGGAGGCCCAGGTTGTTTCGTGAGTGTTGTGTTTGGTTTTGTTTTTGTTGTTTGTGGAACCAACTTCACTTGATGGACTTCCGGGGTGCAGGATGCGTTTTCAGCCCAATGGCGTCATTCTCCTGTACAGTAAGTATCCAAGGGAGCCACCCGTCAAAGCGGAAATTGGCCGGTTATCTATCCACTACAGTCACTACAATAATTAAGAAAGTGGGATCGACTGGGTAGGTTCCAACATGCGAGTTGTTCTTCAGGTGTCCAAGATTGGGTTGGACCATATTGTGAGAGTGTTCAATGCCCTAAGGAACCTCGAGAACCCCAACAGGTTGCCGATTTCGGGGCATTCTTTCCCCGCCCAGAAGGAGCCCAGCCCTTTGAGTCGGGCGAACAGTTCGCAAACCCTGCCCCTGCCAAACAAGCCGTCCCTTTTCCGCTATTTGCCGGGGTTGGCCACTTTCCTTGACTGCTATTGGATCTTTAGACTTTAGCTTTTTGGGAAATCAAGAGGTTTTCCACTAAACCTCCAAAAAGTTAAACTTTTTGCAGGGGGGTCAACAGCAACCAAGTTTCGAGCAAATCGACTCCCCTGAGGTGCGGCCTTTGGGTGAGCCGCTCTGCAGTCGCCCGCTCAACGTGTTGGCGGTGGCTGCCTCCGAGGGCCGCCTGGAGGTGCCAACGGGCGGGGAGCGAGGGCTGAGGCGTGGTGTTCTTTCAGGTTCCCTTGTAGCCGGCAAACGTGTTTGTTTTTTGTTTTTTTGCAGGGGGTTCAAGTCTGGCCCACGAAGTAAACCAGGAGGTTCTTTGTCGAAATGTTTGTATCATTTGTTTATAGTTCATTTTGGAGTATCATTCGGGACGCACAACATGTTCCACAAAGCCCGTGTCCTGTGGAGGAATCACATATTTTGACCGTGGCCAATATGGACACCCTACTGCAAGATGGGGTGTGGTCCTTGGGGCTAACTCCGAGCAGGGTGCAACCTGGGGGCTGTTCTTTCCAAGTTGTTTTCGGTTTCCCTTGTAAGCTGCTGAAACAGGAGGCTCTCTTGCTCGGACATCTGGTTTATGATGCCACTTTCTTGTTCTAGTTGCCCCTTGTTGCCCTCCACACAATCCAACAGTTAAGCACCGTAATTCGGAAAGTACACCAGCTACTGCCCATAGGTTTACCAAGCTGGCCAAGATTTGGAAATCATTGGTGCAGTTCAAGCGTCAAGGTTTGTGAAGCTCATAGTGGGCACCCGCTCCTCAAGGCCAGTCCCCCCCAAGGGAATTCGCCAGAACGCTGGTTATTGAGAACCTTGCCGCCCTGGATCGCGCAAGGGGCATTAATCACGAGGAAAGGCAGAGCCACAAGTTGCACACTGTTCAGCGGGCTCTAGCGCCAGCAGACTTATACTTTTGCCTTCAGTAAACCCGGGCGCCGCTCCGTTTGCCGGTCCGTTTGCAGGACTTGGAGGCCTTTCTGGAAGAGGAGGGAAGCTGAGTTGGGAGCTTCAGAAGAAAGGTAAAGGACACCAATTTGTCGACCACGGATCCAACTGGGCGGATTCAAAGGGGTGTCCGCCCCAAGTGAAGAATTCCGCCTCCCGTTCAGAATTCTTATGAAGCTGAATCCCGGTTCTGCTTCCCAGCGGAGACTTTTTTGGGTTGCCATGCCCCATTGGCCAAGGCACATTGAATGCTTTCACCAATCGGCCCCCCTTCCCTTTTTGAGCCCAACTCATCGGAGCCATCATGCAGCGGCCTTTGTTCCTTTTCGTGGAGTGGGTTCCCCTAACAATGGTTGTTTAAAAGGACCCCGTTTTCAGCGTCCCCAAATGTCCACAATTTCTCGCTTTTCGAGTGGATTGGCCAAAAAGGCAAAAGAGCTGTTCGGTTTGCCACTAAAATGGTCTTCCCACAAAGGTTAACGTCCAGGAACTCAGGAAGGAAGTTAGACGATTTTGAGACAAACCAAAAAGTGATGTGTGAGCCTGCGGGCGGTTCCATGGCCGGCCAACCTCTAGGCGCAGCGCTTCAATAGCCACGGTCAATTTTCTGGTGTGCCGTGGTGTCCCCAACTGACATGGAATTTTGAGTGACCTCTAGGGGCTGCTGGTCCGAGGATTTTTGGGGAGGCGTTCCGACAACCCAGCCTTCTGCACGGGACTGCTAAACCCACAGCACCTATCCCATGGGAAAAAGGAACACCCCCGTAAATGTCCATGGTCTTGTGGCTGGTTTACTTGAAACAGGAGCTTTCTCAAGCCTTTGCTTTCCCAGATTTGTGGTTTTGGTTGACTCAAGTGGAGCTATCTCCAACTGGAACCCCTCCAACTTTGAGCTCGCGGGCATTCCCTTTCCTACCATTTGAGAGGATCCCAATTTCCAGAAGAATTCAATCGGCACAGGTCAGGGGTCCTTATAGCTTCCCTCTTGAATTCCTCAAACATGAGTGGCAAAAGTTGAGGGGTTTCCCTTTGGTCTGGTGGGATGATGTTTAAATGGGACATATACTCAAAGAAGACGCCCCTCCCTGGTGGCATGGAGAAGCAAGCTGGCGACAGGCTTCTTCTGAACATTGCCTTGACAGTTTGCATATATGTACATATTATGAACATACACAGACATATGTATATATGTATATTCATAGTATATCTCTTTGTGCGTGATTTAGACATCATGCTTAGCTGCAAATCAAGACTGACTTACCTTTTGGATGTTTTCAGGAGCTTCATTCTCCCGTGTTGGGTGATTGAAGTCACATGTCCGTGGCTACAACCAAAAAAAACCCAAGTTCCCTGCTTCCTGTTCAGGAGCGGGACTTTCAAGATCCTCGTGGCCACGCGCTGCTTGGCCATTCACCTTTTATCTTGTACCTTATTTGCATGCATTTTCCTGGGTCCCTTAAGCTGAACATTTTGGGGTGCTCCAAATCACTTTTGGGGGTACCGGGTACCTTTAAACCACCACGAGGATGCCAGGATTCCCACAAACACACGTTGCAATGGAGATCACCAGAAGGTGCTTGCAAGAGAAAAAAGTGTCTTCAGGATGCAGGCAGGTCCATGGCAATGTGGGGGCAAAGGGACTGTCCTTCCCCTTTTTTCTTCACTCGTTACAATGGACTCCGGACGGACAAGTTTGTTTTGCACCGGTTGGTAGGTCGCAGGGTTTCGTGCCTTGCAACTGGTGGATTTTGTGAAGTCCAAGGCTAGTTTTGGCCTTCACCAAGTCCCAGCTCCGCGCCTCTTTGCGCCTGCTCCGGGCTCTAGGCCCGGAGGTCGCGCAGAAGCTCCAGCCTCTGCCCTGGCGCTTGCAGGCGCGCCGCCGGGCGCAGTGCAAGAATTGTGGGAAGGTCGGCTTAAGCTTCAAAAAGCTTCCCAAAAGCTTTAAACACCACTTTGAACTTTTAACTTCATCCAAGTTGAGACTTGATCCGACCAATCCACCCAGGCAGTAAGCAGCCCACTTCTGTGTCGTAATCACTCCCCGTTTGAACATGTCCAAGCCATTTGATGGCTTCTTCCCTGATCATGAGCGATCCGTGTGATGCTTGCTTCGGGGTGTTTGCATCCTGCTCAAAATGCACGAAGCCCTCATGGGCGCCAAAAAAAATTCCTTGGCCTTTGGGTTTGTTTTCCCCTCGCAGCTCGTTCCGCGCCGTTTTGCAGGCCTTCAAGGAGCTGGCACATGGCCAGGACAGAGGCTTCCGGGGGTGAAGCGAGGCTTAGACTTTCAATCGGATGGCCCTGATTGGACTCTGGGGTGGCTGTGCGCCGCCTTTTCAGGAGGGTACTTTGACAAGGAGTAATGTTGACAAAGCGCCTCTTTGACAATGTTTCCTCGGACTGATAGACACGCTCGCCAAAGGAGAACCGTGTCCTGCCAAGGATCTCCAGCCGAAGCACTGCTTGTTCAAAGGCCCATATGAGCCTTCACTTGTTTTCGAGACGAGGGTATGAATACAAGCGGTATGCAAACGGAGCAGTGTGTACCACCACGCCTAGATGAGCCGGGCAACTGCATTGAGCCTGCCATGGGGTTCGCATCAACCGATATGCATCCAACGTAAGGGGGTGATCAGTGAAGCTCCGGAAGTGTTGACGCACTGTTCATTTGTTGTTTGGTGGACCCCACAAAAGAAAGGAATCGGGGGACAGGGCAGGGCCATTCCAAAAGACCATGCCCACAATGGGACTATTGAGTGCTGAATTGCCCTATGTTTTTGTTACCCCAAAACAAAGCCACAAGGGGATAGGACACTTTGAGTTCTTCCAGACCCCTATTTGACGTCTGGGCAAGTCAAATGGGCGTCTCCCAGTTTGTGCAAAGAAAAGCGTAGATAAAAAAGAAACAACTGCTGGGGACTGACAGCGAGGGCTCACTTTTCTACTCTTGTTCAGACCTGATGTCAAGTCTCAGTCTTTTGCGGCGTGCCGCCGCATTTGACCCTCGGCAGGACCTGGGCGTCTTCTCAGAGGAGGAGCTCCAACAGCTTCTGCGGCTGCGACTGGACGCGCTGGAGCTGGAGGCGACGGCGGAGAAGGCGGCGGAGGCGGCGGAGGCGAAGGCGTGAGGGTGAAGACATGTCTGTGGGTCAAAAATAGGTACCACAAATTGAACCCTGTTAAATAAAGAGAAGGACTAAAACCTGCGGTCCCCCGGTGGTTCAATTTTGACCCATACCCACATGGAGCGGGGCGAAACCATTATGTGGTCAAGCACTATATGTGCAGGAAACTGGTGACTAGACATGAACCGGAACCTAGACATGTCGTTTGATGGCACAATTCTGAGGTAGACAGCAAAGGGCACGGAGTGGACACATGGCATTTGGAGAATCGAAGCAGAGATCATGCGCATATGTCGAGCTCCCCCTCGAAAGCGCGATTTCCTTTGAAACCCAAAAGGGTGCCTCAACAAAGGACACGCAAATTCATGTCCATACCTCAACCCTTGAGTCTTCCATGCTTGAAAAGGCAACGGACAGATCCGCAGACCTCCAGAAGTGCGCTATCAGAGACCTACCCATGTCCCAAGCCAAGCCATCCCTCCAGGGACCAACGGAGGCGCCTGAGGAAGCCCCCGCGCCTGAGCCAGTGCTGCTCGGATCTTCCGTCACTCTGCGGTCCGGGGATATGCCCAAAATGGATGGAAGCCCGGAGTGCACCCTTTAGATTCCCTTTTTGTTTGGTGGACCCACTGAAAATTGTCAACCCTCCTCAAACGGTGTCCGACTACTGGGCAACTCAAAGGCTTGCCTTGGGTGGATCCGAATCGCCCTCGGACCTTTTGGAAGCTGAGTTAGTGGCCAATGACCCATTTATGCTCTGCGGGGGAAGACCTCAGTCCCCCCAAACAAGGTCTGAACCTAAAATTGATGTTTTTTGGGTTCAGAAAGATTTGGATCCTTGCACGAGTGCACGATGTCATTGATAGTGGGGAGCCAACTCTGACGCGTTTGCAGCGGTGTCATTGTCCAAAGCGGACACACACACACACAGACAGACAGACAGACAGACAGACAGACAGACAGACAGACAGACAGACAGACAGACAGACAGACAGACAGACAGACAGACAGACAGACAGACAGACAGACAGACAGACAGACAGACAGACAGACAGACAGACAGACAGACAGACAGACAGACAGACAGACAGACAGACAGACAGACAGACAGACAGACAGACAGACAGACAGACAGACAGACAGACAGACAGACAGACAGACAGACAGACAGACACACACACACACACACACACACACACACACACACACACACACACACACACACACACACACACACACACACACACACACACACACACACACACACACACACACACACACACACACACACACACACACACACACACACACACACACACACACACACACACACACACACACACACACACACACACACACACACACACACACACACACACACACACACACACACACACACACACACACACACACACACACACACACACACACACACACACACACACACACACACACACACACACACACACACACACACACACACACACACACACACACACACACACACACACACACACACACACACACACACACACACACACACACACACACACACACACACACACACACACACACACACACACACACACACACACACACACACACACACACACACACACACACACACACACACACACACACAACACACACACGCAATGATGCCATCAGGAACACGCAAGGTGGGGAGGCTGGAGGCCCAATAGTGGCGGTGTCTCCTAGATGTCACTCTATCACGCTGTCGGATTTTGATGGGATGGCTATCGAAGAGGGATGGTCCAGGTGTTAAAGCGCCAGCCTTTTGTTGCCTACTTAAAAGCATGTTGAGCCCTGCGGCACACCGGACTTGGCAAATGAGAGATAACGTGTTTTAGCCCGAAGCCATGTTTGGGTAGTTCAGAAACAGCCTGTGAGGCCAACGGTTCGGTCGGTTGCAACTCTTTCTATAGCACCAACTCTCCATGGATCTGCAGAGTTTGTTGAGCCATGACGATTCCCAGTGGCGATTTTGTCTTCTCGCAGTGCTACGTGCAAGCCTGAGCATGGCAAAAGAGGCAAAGCTGAACAGACGCATCCACGCACGTAGACCGGCGGACACCATTTCGGACACCTGCTTCCCCTGCATCTCAACGGAATACGTGGCCACCCTATTCCAATCTTTCCTGTCCACAACTCCTTGCCTTTTAGGCTCAAGGGCATCACATCCTTTTTGCCCTCCAACCGTTCTGAGGACGACTGAGCCTGGGGACCTCTACGAGGCGGGTTGCAAGTTTGCCCCTACTGCCAACGATGCACGAAGAGCGAGCTCAGCGATTTGGGCAAAATGGGCTCACTCGGGAATATCCCATTATTATTCAGGTGGGTGAAATAATTGTCTGGTTGAACCTGAATTTGGGCCCCTACAAGTTCCGAAGCCTTCGTTCAGGGGTTTCATTGGGTTTCAAGTTTCAATGACAAAGGGCAAAGCCCAACTTTAATGCATCGTGGGCGTGCGCAAGGTTTGCAGAGCCAGCCTGATAGTGATTGCATGCAGATTCCTTTTAAAGAGCATTGCCATATTCAACACCCAGTGGAATTCAAACAGGCAGTTGGTCCAATCATTTGGTATGGGCATGGTCAAAGATCCCTGAAATTCGGCGATAGCGAGGGTTCCGCCTAGCGGACCCTGACCCTGATGTTGGGGCATTACGGTTTTATCGCATGTTCTCCACACATGTGCCATGATCACTCTTGCAATTCCAGCCAGGCTTCGCGTAGAGGAATACGGCGGCAGTTGCCTAGGGGACCCCTCCTTGGGCCAAATCCACAATCACAAGGCGTGAAACGAGAACTCAGACTTGCGATTCGGGTGACTCCGAGTCCTCGAGCGCGAGCTTTCCCAAGAATGGCCGCATTGTTTTCGAGCGGTTCTTTGCAATGCCTGAGTTTACATTCACTTTTACCCGTTGGATCTCGGGTTCGCCGTGCTTTGGTCAGTTTCCTGCTTTCGCTGGATTCAGAGAGAGTTGCTACCCCACGGAAGCGTTAGACATGCAGGCGATCCACTTCGGGGAGCCAATATGAACTGGGTGGCTGCTTTCCCACTCAGCCAAGGCGCAACTTTTACTTCTAGACTTACTTCCATATAGACGAGTTGTTTGGCTTGCATGTTGGCCTGAGGCAGGCGACTGAACCAGACTCAAACTTACAATCTTGGGTTGCGGGGAAAGCTGCGGTACTGTATTGAAGGAAGCCTAGTTGTGGCCCACCCATTTCCAGGGAAATCTCCTTAAATGTGTGGTAACTGCACCCGTTGAGTGGGTATGCTTACCGGCTCCCCAATCGTTTGGTCAGCAGGTGGTCTACTCAGCCGTCTGGATCCGGCGGGCACCCTTCGCGGACGCCGCGCGGGTGAGCAAGCGCATCCAGGGGCAGCGCCTGAGGCGGTCCCCGCGTTTTCGGCCGGTGTTTGGGGCGCCGGGCTTTGGAGGCCGGGGGCGGGCGATTCATACCAGAAGTGCTGCAGGTTGATGACTCGTCAGCCCGCCAAAGAGCCAGCTTGATATGTGTTCAATGTTTGACTTGTGGATCCCTTTTTGAACATAATTAACGTGTTCAGGGTTGGTTTCAACATGTTTAAGCACCTGTGGACCTGTGGATAGATAAAAAGCTCACTTCGCACCAGTTGGCAGGTGGTTATCCCAGTGTTTAGGGTTTGTTTCATCCAGCTGGTGCAGGATGTTGTCCACCCATAGTGTTGCAATGACCTCTGTTTAGGTTCCGTGGTCAGGTTCTGCTTGCAAGAAGCTTTGCCCAACCCTGTAAGGGGCCGAAGGGATGGCTAGAGGATGGTTCAGAGGTCTTTAGGTTCCAAGAGACTCATGTGGTGTCCCTTGTTGCCTTCTTTTTTGGAGTGGGGCTGGAGTTGTGTTTAGTGGGAAAACAGTCTTCTCAGAACGCCAAGCCAACCTGGCACTGTTTGCAGCCAATCAGCGATTAAGCTCTTTGGAAAGATCCGGACAGATCTGCGGGACTGTGAGCTATTGTGAGCTGAAACACAGGAGATATGGCACAAGCAAATGTTTCGGAAAATAAATGGACCTGATTCAGAACTGGAATCTCGAGTTTGTTTCGTGAACACTTCAAGATCATGTTGCCATAGATGATTTGGTTCTATGTTTGCTTTATTTTAGCTTTACGGGCGCAAAGTGGCACAACTATAGCTGAACAATCGGCTGGCGTGCAGCGTGCGCTTAGCGCTTTGAGTTCCCAGGCTCCTTGGGAATGGGTCTCTGCTTCCATGTCCAAATGCACGAACCGGGGGGGGGGGGGGGGGGGGAAATTCGCGAACCTGGCAGATAGGCGGTGTTTCCCGGAGAAAAAGGACAAAGGAGTCCCTCGTCCTTGCAAAACCCCCCTATCAATCGGCCGGAGTGTCATTCATCCGGGAATGGGTGAACCCCCCCCAAAGAAAGCGTAAAATTCAACTCAAAAACCTGCGCAAGCCTCAACAAAAACGACGCGCCAATATATGTGAAGCTCACTTGGGTAGGAACATGAGTTGGGCAAAGCAGCAAACCAAAATGAGAAGGTACCACTAACCAAGTATCACTAACAACAACTGGATTTCTGTTCTGCATTTGGGTTGTTCTGCTTTGGGGTGGCACCCATTCGCGGGGGACACGAGGATCCTGGACTACGACGAGTCCAGGTTGTGGGGCCACGTGGTCTTCAAGACCAGCGAGGGTATGGACGAAGGCGAGCTCTCAAAAGCCAGCCGACATGGAACCTTTAGGGTTAGAGCCTATACTGTTTATTTAACCTTTGGGTTTCCGTTTTTGGCGATTGCTTGTTAAAGGACCACCAAAAGGACGCAAAAGGACGCCTCAAACGACTCGGTACCCAAGGAACGTCCCGATGAAAATCGCCTCTGCATCACCTTGCCAAAGAGCAGGATTCCTTTCAGGTGATGTTGAAGCTGGCTGGGTGAATACGTTGCAAGACACTATGGGCTGCTTTGAGATATGTCACCAAATGATCGGACGGTCGATTTGGGGGGAGGGGTGGGACCAGGAGGACCAGCCCTTTACCTAATGCGCCGAATCGCATATGTCAATGCTCTACAGAACCCCTTTCCAAAAAGGACAATTGTCTTCCAAAAGCCTGTGCGCCTCCATGTTGCTTGGTTGGAGGAGTTTTTACCGCAGTTACGGGTGTCTTTTAACTGGCCGGGGTTGGGCAATTGCGAGGCTGGATGCTGATCCAGCACGACGACCTCGGACAGCTGCTGAAGCCTGTAGAGGAAGGGCGAGCCGAGTCCGAGTGTGTCGAAAGCTGAGTCCTGAAGGCGATAGATTTGAACCATGTAAGCCTGATAGAACCACAAGTGCCAACTGAGTTACAAGGTTGCTAAGAACTTATGAGAATGGGGTCTCTCTTGATGTTATTTTGCAGCTTGAGGTTCGCTAAGCATGGACCAGAATCAGACATACTACTGTTGGTTGCGGGGGGAAAATAAGGAATTGTGGACCACACATTTCCTGGGAAGTCTGCAAATGCGGGTTAATTGTATACCATATTGGTTCGGTATTCTAACCAAATTGTTACTCAGCACAAGGAGGCAATCGATTTGCTACTAGCAATCCTGGGCAAATATCCCATGGACAGGGCACTTATACCAAGGACATTGATTTTTTGCGACCTGGGGGGGGGTTCTACCCATGCAGCTACGATCAGCAGCAAAACGCTTGCCTGCTTGAGTAGGTTTTCATACAGTAGGGTTGGTTTAGGGTTGGCCGAGAAGGGCGCATGGAGCATCAATCGGGGCCACCGAACCCTTGAATGTCCTTTCCGACTGGCAAGGAATAGAGTCACAAATGTTGACCCTGGCTCAGATATATGCGACAAGCAGAAGTGCGAAACGATTTAAAAAGAAGGAACGACACATACTGAAAGGGGCAGGGTACTTAGTAAGTGGTTAGGAACCGTGGTTATACCACACTTAGGAGACTTGTAGCTATGGAAAGTGGGCTATAAGTATGGTTCCTAACCAGTTACTAAGTACCCTGCCCCTTTAAGTAGTAAGCCTGACGTTCTTCTTTGGCGTGATCAATTCTGGATTGCGGACGAAGCTGGCTGCGAGAGCCAGCAGGGTGCGGCCGGATCGAAGTACATGTCCTCTGTTGCCTCCTGGAAAAGACGGTCATGAAATGATGCCGGGGCCTGGATTGAGTGGTCTGGTGGGCTGCATCAAGAAGCGGCTGCACCTTTTGTCCTTAGAACATAGGGGCCCTTTGAGCGTTTGGGAAAACAGGCAGGTTACAACGAATGAGTGGCCTGACCACCCACCAGTTGACCATTTAGAGACGCACCTCCTGTGGTTATGTTTGTTTTGTTTGGGAAGGTGGTTCCCGTCAACATCAACTACCCAAGCAAGGGTGCCCCTTTTCTTCCCTGCAGGACGATGGCGGAGGCTTCCTGGTGCGCCCAGAAAGCGCGCCTTAGAAACATGGCGCGTTTCGCATGAGCGCGCGTCTCGCAGCGAAGGGAGTGGCAGATCAGTGAAAGTAAGTTCCGTGCCTGACCTTACCTCGTCACCTCTTCTCTGTTTGGCAACAGTGTCAGTCGGTTAGTGTCCCTTTGGTTTCCACGTAGCACCACCCAAAAAAAGGTCTTAAACATCTTTAAGCTCAATCCGGGTGAAAACAGGCGTCCCTACAACAAACAAACTAGATAGACATACTCACACACTCCATCGTCAATAGATAGACATACTCACACACTCCATCGTCGAATGGTGCGGTTGGCATTGCACGTTGATCCCCTCTGAATAACTGTCGCTCTGCTGCCTGTGGCTCACGACGTTAGGTTCCAAAGCATGAGCCTGTCAGCCACGGCAAAAGGAGAGCAGTTGCTTTAGGGTGCACTACTTAGAGACAAACCCATGTCTACGCCAAATGTGGAAATTAGGTCATCAGCTTTGCAGCTCAAAAACCAGCAGCTAACAGCGCCGCATATTTGGCGGAAAACCGCAGGGAAAGATCCATCATATTAGAAGAATCTGGCTAGATCACTTTGCGATTTAGTACCTTCTCCGCATGCAGGAAAAATGAGGGCGGAACATGAGCAACCTGACTTATTATTCATTCGATTATGGACGCGTTCCCCCTGACCCTTGTTTTTTTGGGAACCCGAGCAGTGGGTTTTATTCACTGTACAGGGTCCCTTGATTTTCAAGCAGACTCCGGTCAAATGGCAAATTGTGAATGTGGACGGAGAAGTGCTTGCGTTTCCCAGACTCCGAAACCAGGGCTCCCTCTCTGGCCCCAGGGGCCTGTCAGGTATCTGCCAGAATCTAGCCTGCGCCTGCGAAACACCAAGCTCGTGCGGCAGCTAACGAACCCTACGAGGGAATGATTGATTTGTTGTCCCACGCTGACAGGATTATCTCCCTGCCAACAAGGGTCACGGGTTGAACGTGGATCGAAAGCATAACCTGCTTCCCCATGGCGCTGATCAGCTGGAAGACTGCCCGGATCACCGCCTCGGGCTTGCAGCGGTTCGGGGCCCCGGATTTGTGATTTTCGTGCCGGTCAGGTGAGCGGACATGCGAAATATCGGATCGTGCTTTCCTGAGTGCTATATCTGTATATGTGTATATAGACATGGTGCATATACATAATATTATATATATATATATATGTCATATTATTTACACATAGACACATTTCTATGTGTAGATTGACATACATGTCATACATGTATTCACCATATGTTGCATGCTCATCTTTATATACATATTATCCTCTGATGTGCAAGGGCAATGTGAGGAACTCTGTTTGTTACCTTTGGGGCATTTCTTTTTCGCAGTGCCAATGATCCCGGTGGCCACCCATGGACTTTTGCTGGCATATGTGCTTTCTACGACTAGACACTCCTAGAGTGAATTGCCCAAGGGGAATTCCTGCTTAGAAGTCTCAAACTGGCATCACGACACTGGCTGTGACGATGTCCCTCCGTGCATGAGCGTGGGCTGGGGCACGGATCGAGGCTTTTTTCCTAGAGGCTGCTTCTCCCCCCGGCTGATTTGCTTCCTCAGCAGTCAGTCTTGCATCTCTCTCCTTCGCCCAACTGGGGTCCCGGTTGCTCTGTGAACACCTTTCGTGCTTAGTGTCAACTCACACACGCTGCGGTCATAAACAACAACGACAAAGCCATGTGTTTGTTCAAAATCGGGCAAACATATTTTCTTCACATGATACATATCCCGCAAAGGAGGGGCACCCCGATTTACTTCTTAAAGAAAACAACACCACGTGCTGCAAGTCAATCCACTTTATATATATGCTGCCTTCTTCGCCCAGTGGTGGATCGCTTACCATCATAGTAGGTAGCCTTTCGCCATGCTCCTTTCCGGCCAGGGTTCCCTTGGCTACCTACTCAGGTAAATGGAATCACGGGACGATTGTTCAAACAACCTCCTTTTGGGTCCCTTTTGAAGGGTTGCAGGGATTGAGGAGTGCGGCGGACCGGTTGCGGTAAGTGCCAAGCATGATGGCCAGCCCGGTGTTGAAAGGAGGAGTGCTCCGGGCTTACGCTGTAAATACCGGCTCCGGCTGGCAAACATGGTGGCGGCCTTCACTTAGGCGTTCAAGCACCGTGAGGTTTGCAACGCTTGATGGTGGCGTCCAACTCGAACTACAAACCAAAGAACTGTTTTCCCCGCCCGCTGTTTCATGTTTGATTTGGTTGGTACATGCAATCACTAGCGTCCCAAGAATAGCTCAAAGCGCGCATTGGATGGTTGGCGGTTACCGAGGTTGGAGCCGGGCCAGTGGCTGGATGTTGCTCGGTGGGTTGTTTGGAGCCGAGGAAAGTGAGCTACGCGGTAGATGCGGTGGGTGCCCTACATATTCAAAGTAGGTGGGATCGGAAACCCGGTCATTTTGTGAGGGTTGTGTGGATGTGATTGGGTCACTTGGTACGGTGAGCACCGGTTTCAATCACCCTAAAGGCCTTTGGGAGTGGGGATTCCTCCGTCCGTTGCAGAATTTGTGAACTTTGCAAGGCTTCCTGCAGGTGGGCATGAAGAGCCAATGCTCTCCTAGAAACTAAAGGTCGTACCGGTTTCCATGAGTGTCAGAACCGTTACCCTTCTCGAACAGGAACCTGGCAAGTTTTGCTTGTGGCACATGCGTGTCACGCGAGTAGTGAAAAGTCACCATGTAGCGTCAAACAAAAATGGCATGCAGAACTCTCTCCAAACTACCATTGGATTTTGCTTGCTTGCTAGTGGACGTGGGATCCACTCCAAGAAGAGATTGCCCCTTTTTTTATTAATAGCAACTGGGTGTTGCGCTGCTATTGCGTGCATTCCTTGATGTCTCATAGTTCTTCCCACTCACTTCCAAACGCCCACATCAACTTCTTCGATTCTAACAAGATGTGGTGCGTGCTCAGGTGCGGGTTGTTTCAATGTGTGTTTGTTAGATATAGGGGATCCCGAAACTGGCTCTTGCTTTTTGTTTCCGGGGAAGCACCAACGGGGTGCCTTGTGCAAGCCTAGATGTGCATGGGTCAAAAGATCCCTTTCGCTGGGGGTTGGTAGAGACGGTGGCCAGCCTCTTTCTTTGTAGGGTTTTGACGACCTTTATAAACTGTTCTATTGCATGGATTGGGTGGTCATCCGATACGATTGGATCGATGAAGAGAAGCTTGGCACAGCACTTGGGCAAGGATGACACGCACAAATCGAGAAGTGTTTCTTGAGGGATTAGATTTGCAGGAAAGGACACTCCTTTTGCCCCGCGCTTTTCGGGTTCCAGTAGGAGCATTTGTATGTTTTGTGTTCACACAGCTGGAGTCTAAGGATGAGGTCATGGGCTTCTGGATCGAATACTTGGCCTCTTGGATCTCATGTCTGACCAATTTGGCGGAGGAAAGGGAGGGCGGGGGCTGGTTCAGCGCCCAAAACCCTTTGGGGGCGTGCAATTTTCCCTGAGCTCGCCCAACGTCAAAGGGTTTCTTCCTCAAACCAAGACGAGTTCTCAGGGTAAAATGAGCTGACCCATGAAGAAGGTCGCTTGCAAGGGATCCTGGTAACATCTATCGAATTGGTATGCAGAAGGTTTGACACGTTAGATGTGATTTCCTGAGGAAATTCCCCGTACCATAGATACTCCAAGAGAACACGATGAATGCAAGCCTCGTGGGCCATATGAGGTTTGGGGGACTCACTCAAGGACACCCCTTCCCATTAATTGAGGTAGAAGGATCTGGGGATTGCCATATAATGCTGTGACCTTGTTGTATTGCTCGTGCCGCCTTTTGCCCTGTATGTGCGTGAGGGTTGGAGTTCAGCCAAGCACAGGGGCCTTTCTTTGGCTGGCATTTTGGTTGGACATCTGTTGATTGTTGATGAACATGGAAGAGGCATCGCCTTTTGGGGACCCCATTCTGGGGATTCATGCAGAGTTCCGGGGGACTAAGTGTTGGAATAGCATGTTTTCTCTGCCACGATATAATCAGCAACGACGAAAGCTCTTTGGGCAGGCAGGGAGAACTAGCCACCAAGTTTCACAGGGGAAACTTTCAACCCCGGGCGCTACCACGAACGGCCGAGGCGACAGCCCCGCCGCCACAGGGCCTGGGGCGACCGGAGGCGGGGCATCGTGGACCACCTTTTTTCTTTTACGGAGGGGGTGCCATCATCTATTGGGGCGTTGTAAGGCCTTAGGGATTGTGTGGGGATGCCCCCCCCCCCCCCCTCGGAGGCCCATGAAAACAGGGAGGAACCCAAGGCAGTGCCGAGATGTTCACCAATGACTTGAGCAAAGGAACTGTAAGCAGATTACTTGTGAGCATTGCTGACAAACCCCCAGTTGCCGCATTGTTGACCCCCTGTGAAGGGGCACCTCAGTGAGGAGGAAACGAACGTTTCCAGTTTTCGAAACAAAGGAACCCGGAAAGGGAGTCACCATTTTTTCATGTTTGCAACCATTGGGCAGGCGGGCGGGGTGGGCGGGGTGGGCGGGCGGGTGGGCTATGGGTGGTTGTGAATTTTGAGGGCGCTAATCGGTTGTCGGGGTTTGACAACATGGTTGTGGCAGATAGGCGTTGATGGCCACGCAATCCCCAACTCCACGGCCTTCAATGGCCAACCCAAAAACGGTTTTGATTATGGCACACTCACTTTCTTGGCGGGGTATCGTTTGGGTCGCCCCAGGGCCCCCTATCAGGTTTCCCTGTTGGCATTGGCTTTGAGAAGCGCATCTTATCATTGGGTGTTGATATTGTGTGGTATTGATATGCCCAGATATTATGCTTCAGGAAGCCCGTTCTGTGGGTTGCGTTTTTCCGCCCCCTCAATCGGGGGTGCTTTGCGTGTGACGTGTGTGGGCGTTCACCTTGGTTCAACGGACGTCCAAACAGGACAACCGCTATGCTTGGGTCCATATGGCTTGTGGGTCAAAACCAATGGTACCGTTTTGGGGTAGGTGCACCACCCATTTTAGTCGATTTTAGTGGGGGAGTGGGATGTTCACTGGGGGTATGGGATTTTGACCATGGCCATATCCCAATTTGACACGCGGGAATGCGTGTTTCCCTGCCACGTCCCCGTAGGCCCAAGAAACGGACACTTGAGGTGCATATCATGGACCCAGCCGCGGCCAACTGGTGCGGGCGCCCAGGCTTGCTGGGATTCCACGAGGGTGTGTGTGATGTGTGTGGGTGTTTCTGGAAAGCCGCCCTGCCTTGCCAAGCCAAAAGGTGAGCTGGAGGTCGAACACCAGTTTTGGGGTTGGATGGCAGGGTTCTGCTGGGCAAACACGATCATCAGATTTCACACCTTTCCAAACCTCTTGTGGCGCTTGTGTTTTTTCGTGCTTTTGGGAGGGCCTCTTCAAAGGCAACCAATAACAAGGAAGTTTCTTGAGAAGGGGGGCCTCGCTGGAGGCCCGGGCCTTGGGCAACCTGGCTAAGGACCTGGGGTTCCCATGAATTTGTCACTTACTTTCTCCAGGACTCGAATAGATGCAGGTTGTTTTCGGGGGACAGCCCATCCGTTGGTAAAGCAAGGCCCTGTTGATTCGGGACAGATCCCGCTCGCTTTTGAGCATGATTCGGACATGTTGAGCCTCAAAGGCCTATGGCCAAGCCCGAATTCGATCGGAGACCCATGGGCACATGGCATCTTGTATTGCGGATTGGGTCAATGGACCGAACCAGCCCATTTTGATACTTGGGGCTTCAGCTTGCCGTTGGGGTGTCCCAGAGTCACAAACCTCCGACAGATCCTCGACAACTAGGGTGGTTGAATATAATGTTGCTCTCTTTTTTTTGGGGGGGGGCAAACCAAAGGGGATCCCCCCTTTCAGGGGTTTTCCCTATTTGAAGATCTTTGTTCTCAAGGACCCAGGTTGGACTCCCGTGCGTCTCCCGGTCCCGCCTCCGGCTCGAGGATCTTGTCGGAGGAGGACGCCGAGGATCTCGCGGACGGGCTCGCCCCACTGGAGCTGGGCTCCAAAGAGCTGGTCCTGGTGCCGGTGGCCGACCGCCAGGCCCACGGCCAGGGGAGCCCTGAGACATCCCCTCAATTCAGGCGAAAATTGGAGCGAAACTGGCAGCTTGGTTTTGATGAAGAGGGGACGTTCGGATTTGGCGCGTTTTCCTGGCCAGCATGTCCACTTACCATTGTGTGTGTGTGACCGGGGGAAACCATAATGTCATATGTAAGCGCTGCGGGCCACAGGCTCGTCCAGGAGCAGGTGTTACCAGATGTTGACAACCGTCTCAGCTCAACAGCTGATGTGCAAGCAGAATCGCCCTGTTCAACATATCCACAATCAAGGGCATGCTGGAACTCTTCAACACGATTGCTGTGTCGACAGAAATAATTCTAGGCTAGGAAATGCTGCAGAGGATTAGGATTACACAATACATATCATTGTTGTAGCACATGTGCATGTTGTTCTTCATTTCGGGCTACTTGTTGCAGACCTCGTTACAGACTTCCGTAGCAAGACCCGCTGGCTCGTTACACACCCCTGGTTGCATACTTTCGTTACACACTTCGCGTGAACATGCCCCTTATTAAAAGCCCCGATGCATACCCAGACTCTCAGCGATTTCCCAGGAGTGCCTACAAAACAAACTTTTGCAGCGCATGCTTTCGCTGAAGAGTCAACTTTCAGGCAACTAGTAGGGAGGGGCCACAAGAAAGAGCCCCCTTTCTGTGCTATGCCTCGTTGCACACCTCGTCACAAAGCCGTTACAGACCTCGTTACAGACCCAACCCCAGCCCGGGCCAGCGACCCCCCTTTTTGCCGTCGCTTGGCTTGCGTTGCATAGTTGCAGACGCAGCGCGCTTGCGCGCCCTACAAACCCTCAAAAGAAAATTGCAGCCACATACATGTGGGAGGAAATCGCTGGGATAGGCATCCGAGTCTGTTCTTGGCGACAGGACAGAGGCAAGGACGGCGTCTACGGATCTCATTGGGCGCTTCTCGCCCTACAACGCAATGGTGAGGAGCTGGGATTCTTCGTTTTGGATGGGATCATTGGAAGCTCGCATTTGCCTCGTTGGTTGGTTCGTGTACTTACTGTGACTCGATGAATGCATCTGGTGGAGGAAGTTGACCATGGCATTTCATGTAATTATGGTCCATTCCAGTTGTGGTCATCCTACGGTCCTGGATTCCAGGTTAGACATCACTTGGACCAATTTCAGGCGAGTATCCTCTTGGCGGTGCCCTTCGGGAAGTGTAGGGCCTCACGAGGCAAGCTCGAGGCCTGACGGAAGGTGGGCCACGGACGGTGGGCCTCCCAAAAGGAGCAAACTTCGAAGCCTGGGTTGCTTGCTAGGTTCCCGAGAAGATGCACTGGATGCGTCATGTCATCCTGGTTCAGGTTCCTTGGCGCAGCTACCATCTCGCTTTGAAATCGATATAGGTAAGCATTTTTTTGCGAAAAGATCTTCCTTGGAGTGATGGGGGGTAGGATCCATGAGAGCTGGCGGCAAAGCGCAAGGATGATCTTCCTGCCATGACATTATTTGCCAGTTGCATCAGCAACGGATCATTAGGCAGTCGGTGATTTTCCTAGAATCAGCAGTTGGTACGTCTAAACACTATCCAAAAACAAAGTCCTTTTTCTGTGTGGACTCGACGACATGCAACTCTTTTTGGAAGGGAATATTTTGTTAATGTTGAAACGCATGTGGAAACATGAACTGTGTTTGCAATGCTTGACCATAATGGCGCATGCCATTTTGGCTCAAGCTTTGCCCTGGGTTCTTTGAACCCAATCTGTGTGAAAAAAAAAAGATTTGAGTTTGAACACCCCCAAACTAACCCCGATCAAGCAATGGCTTCCTCGGCAACCTCGGCAACCTCCTTCGAGCTGATTGAGGACCAGACGCTCGCCGCGGAGGAGGTGGAAATGGCCAGCCAGGAGGCCCAGGAAATCCGCACACGCGAGGCGGCAGTGGCGGCCGGCCTGGTGTTGGACGAGCCCGAGGCCCCCCCGTCGGCTTCGGCTACCGACGTGATGAACGACCTCCAGTGCACTGGAGCGTCTCCGTGTGGCGTTTGCCACACCGACTTCCGGCTTGGGTGCCCCTGGCCCCGCCGAGGAGGAGGACAAGGACATGGAAGATGCGGACGCCACGGAGCGGGCTACTCCACCCACGAAGAGGCTGAAGGGTTTCGTGGCGGCTTCCCAGAAGACCACGGCTCATGTGAACAAACCGGTCTCCCTGGTGCCGGTGGAGGGCCGTCCCGGCTACTTCAAGTTAGTGGACCTCCCAGACCTTTTCCCGGTCCTTCCGGCATCGGCGGCCACGTTGCTGAGGGACGTCACGGTGGAGGAGGCGGTCTCCCTGTTCCACAAGTTTGTCGGGAAGAATCTCACGGAGGACTTGGTGATTCGCATCCTGGAGGCCTATGTTCCGATGAAGATCCAGATCCGGCAGGAGGAGGTCTGGGCCTCACAGTTCCAGAGGAACAAGGCGTGCATTGGCACCCAGCGGATGCACAGACTCGATGCAGGCCACTCAGATTACAAGTTCATGTGCAAGGCATGCGGCACGGGGTGGCCGGAGGCAGCCAAGCAATGCTGGGTCTGCCCAGGCAAGGAGTTCGTCCCCTTCCAGGCACCCTCGGCTACCTATGAGGCGGACGGCGTCACTTACAACCTGCTCATTGTGGAGGGCAAGACCTGCAGCGGAAAGGGGGAAGCCTGGGTGCCGCTGGCCCCGGTGGTACCCGGGCACAGGCAGACCGCAACCTGGTGGACGGCACGGTCCTGGGGAGAGCTCCTCCGAAAACGGACACGGCAGAGGAGATCACCATGGCAGACGTGGTCCCGCTCAACAGGCGGGTGGACATCCGGCAGGAGATCCTGTCCGGACGACGAGGCGTTGAAGGTCCGGGAATGCCAGGAGATCAAGGTCAAAGTGCAGCGGTCCCTGAAGGAGGCGGAGGCTCAGAGCTTCCAGCTCTACCACCCCCAGGTGGACCAGGCGATCCGGAAGAAGGAGGAGCTGCATAAGGCCCTGAAGAAGGACCGGGAACCCTCGGCCAGGCGGCGGCACAAGGAGTTGGTCACGGAGGAGATGCTGGACAATGAGATGGCTATCCTGGCGCCTCTCCAGGAGGGCACGCAGGCCCTGCCGTCAGAGGAGGTGGCCAATGAGGGAGCCCGTGCCCTCAGGAAGGTCAACCTGGAGAGCGATTCAAGGCCAAGCTGCGAGACCAGTACCTGGAGGGGAAGGGCGTTGACGCCAGCCAGGCACTGGCTGAGGCGATGGGCTCCATTCAGGAGGCTCAGGAGGCGAACAAGCGCACCCAGGACACCAACCAGGCCTGGATGCTTAACCACTTGGAAGTTTCGGCGTGGCCAGATGATCTCCGGCAGGCACTGGAGAGGGGGCTATTCTGCCCCCTGGAGCTGGATGACCCCGAGGACATCCCCAACGTGGGTGACATCAAGGAGAAGTATGTCCCTTACATCACCCGATCTGGCGACACCGGCCCCTTGAAGGGTGCCACTGGCCCCGAAAAAGACCAGCCAATGGCACAGCAGGACCTGGACTCGGAGGAGGGCAAGCTGTCCCTGCTCCTCTAACCGACGAAGAGGCACCAAGGGGAGCTACGGATGTTTGGGGGGATCTGGAAGAAGCACTCAAGCGGTGAGATCCCCAAGGGCGCGGACCAGCAATTCAAGCTCACGCCGGAGGAGCTCCTGGCCCTGGAGCGCAGGACTCACCCACTCACGTGTGAGCAGGACCACATCGACCCAGTCATCTACACGGCCTTGGAGATCCGAGCGCAGGTGAACCGGGGCGAGCGCCCGGCTCCGGAGCCGGTGGTGGGGATCTTGTGGGCGAAAGGTGATGGAGTGTTTTGGACCAGGCAGACGAGAACGTGGGACCTGCCGAGCCTGACGGGGGTGTACGCCCACAGGTTCACTTTCAAGTACATCTACTCGGCCTGGACCACTTTCCCGCTGATCGTGAAGACGCAGCGCCGGGGCCGCAATGCGGAGGGCTCGACCTCGGACAAGTGGATGGGCAACATCCTCCAGATGAGGAAGGAGGCGGTGCCCTTCCTGGAGAGCCTGGGAATCCCCAAGCCGCGCAGCAAGGCGGAATGGAGCTACATCTTCAAGGAGATGGGAACGTTTCTGGCGGCCGAGAATTTCATCGTTAACTGCCCGTTGCCGGTGATGGAGATCCCAGTGGCCCCCGTCCACGACAGCAAGGAGGCGTTGCGTTTCAGGGCGGTCTGTGACGAGCGAATCACCCTGCTGAGGGCTTTCGACTCGGTCTACACGCAAGTTGGTGTCGGGCTTGAGCAAGTCCCCCATGGTGGAGGTGAAGGTCAACTGGCGTTGCAACGTGGTCCACGACTGGGTTGAGCAGGTCCCGCAGGAGGCGGCGGGGGCCCTGTACGACAGGTTGGGCTACTCCCAGGACCTCATCCGGCTGGGTTGCTCCCCCCCCTTGGGTGCCTCTGGCCCCGGGGGAGGAGCGGCCAAGGAATCGGACCCCAAGGCCAAGGTTCTGGGGGGGGCGGACACCACGCTCCGCACACCGGACCAGGGCACCAGGCGGTACCCGCCCATCACCACGTCCACGGTCACGGCGGTCGCGGGCCGGAAGTACATCAACAAGCACTTCCCTAAGGAGACGAAGCACGTGTTTTGGGCCTCCGTGGAGTGCGGCTTGGTCTTGCCCAGCATCAGCGCCTGGGAAGTGGTGGGCAAGGAGAAGTTCAAGACCACCGGGGGCTACATGTGCAGGTTTTGCAAGGGCTTCTGGAGGGCGAGCCGCGGGGGGACCAGGCTGCTCCAGATCACGGGGTGGCACAAAGACAAGGCCACATGCCTGCAGCTGGTGATGGACGAGCCCCCGGAGCAGCTATATAATCAGTGGATCCGGGACAGGATGGAGTTCTACAAGAGGGTGGAGCCGACGGAGCCTCCCAGGGACGAGCGGCTAGTCCTGGGCGACGCGAGCACCCCGCGCATGCGCTTCAGCTCCTCGGGATGTCTCCACTGCCTTGTGGTCGGTCATTTTGAGCAACCCGGAGAAGTCAGGGCTGGCGGCCATCCACTCGGTGGCAAAGGAGGCGATCTTGAAGGGTGAGAGCCGCTAGGTCGTGTCTCACAACCCTTTTGGATGTGTGCCGCGGTTGGGTCCCGGCCGTTCGATAGGAGGCTCGAACCCCCGTTTTCATCATGGCTAGGGTCTCTACACTCGTCTTTGGGACCGCATTCCAAGGGTCCTGTGGGACACGTTGGCGGATGAGTCCTTCTCCCCGAGACAGACGGACGGGGAGCTGCTGGTCCTGATGTGCCTCCGCCATGGCACGGCGGAGGAGGGGAGGCAGCTGGGCGGGGAGCCGGCCATCCGCTTCGCCCAGCTCCTGGAACTCTCGGGCATTCCGGTAGGCCAAGACGACCAAGTGGTACCGACTGACTACTTCAACGGCCTGGTGGCGTCGGCGGCGGGCAGGCTTCCCCAGCCTCTGTCCGCGGCGGACCTGGCCGACCTTTGGGATAGCCTATGGTTCCTCCTCATGGCGGCTGCGGATGGCAAGCCGAGCGAGAACTTTTCCCCGCTGGAGAACGAATGGGACCGCCAGGACCAACTGAGGTGGTTCTCGCGAGATGACCCACCCCCACTCCAACAGCCGGAGCTTCTGAAGTGGAGGCACTGGCGGCCCGGGAAGATCAGGGAAATGGAGCCCACGACCCAGCGAGCGCTGGAACTCCATATGCGCGGAAAATGGGCGGAACGGCTCCTTGCCCACTTCGCCCCCTTTGCGGAGCACATTGCATACATGCAGGACATCCTGGGGGAGGACTTCCGCAAGGAGGCATTGGACCTCTTGGGGGACAGCAGGTTCCGGACGCTCAGGCAACATTGCCTGGTCTACGAGAGTCTCCGCAAGAGAGGCTTCACCGTGATTCCATGGCAGGAACGACATGTCCGCTCTCTCCTCAACCAGCTCGCCGATGAGGAGG